AAACAGAAGTTAAGTCCAAAACACGATGTCGTTGTCCAAAAACAATCCGAAGTCAGCAAGGGGTAGAAGTCAGCACTTACAGGATTCCAGTCGGTAGAAGCACGGAAGCACAACAATCTGCAGTCCCAGGACCCAAGGCGACAGTAAAGGCAGCAACAAAGTCCCAAGCCCAACACAACACTTTGCTTACTGCAAAATTCCAATAGTTTGATACCTTTCTTTTATCCTATAACTCCTCATCAGAAGTGGAGCTGGACTCCACCCTGTCCTCCTTGCTCTCAGGTGCTTTTGCTTCCACAGCTGCTCACCACCGCCCGTCCCTCCAGCTTTTCCAGCATCTATCAAGACTTAGATCACCCCAAGTATTTCCAGGTTGCCAGTCTCCCAAGAACCCTTCAAACTCCTCACTTGAGGTGGGTTGCGTACATATGTCCCTGATCTCTTGTACATGGGTCCAGTCCAGCCCATCCTTCTCCCCATTATCACTCTCAGTCCCATCACTCCCTGTGAACCCCATAAAGTCTTCTTCCTCAGTTGGAGCATTAAGTATTTTACGGATTTGCTTCCTTTCCCTCTCTTCATCTGACTCTTGCTCCCGAGTAACCCGTTTCAAGCCGCTACTCCCATCTTCCTCCTCATCCATTTCAGAGTCTGTAAAACCTTCTAATGACTCAGTATCTGTAGGTGTCATTAATATCTCCCTAATTCGCTTCCTTTGCTGCTCTTGATCCAGCACCTGAGCAGCCCTCTTTCCCCTTCTACTGCTAGTAGTAGCTTGATCAGCACACTGTACTACAACAACTTTGGTCAGACCTCACCTTGAATATTGTGTCCAGTTCTGGGCATCCCAGTTGAAGAAGGATATTGGCAAGCTGGAACATGTCCAGAGAAGGGTGACCAAAATGGTTGAAAAACTAGAAACCATGTGTTATGCATAGCTGGGTATTGTTTAGCCCGGAGAAGACAAGGTGAAGAGATGATATGGGAGCTATGTTTTTACTGTGTTTTGATAGGATTCTAGACTTCACAACTGCATAGCCTATCAAATCAACTCAGTATTGGTTTGCAATGTATTTATTAGTGCTCTTGGTGGTCCATGAAATTCAAATGTACAGAGGGAATTTTCTTAACTCTAAAGTGTTGAGTAACTTTAGTAATTTAGTAATTTGATTGTGTGCCTCAAAATTGTGCATCATTTTAATCACATAACCATATGGTAGTTATCACATTAATTGTTCATACGTTCATAATTCGTAAATTAATATAGCTACCCATAGATTAAGATAGCTGTCCATTAAGAAATATGAAGTAGCTCTATTAACACAGTTAAGACTCCAACTATTGCCCAACACAACACTAATATAAAATGATGAAAGGTTTAATACAGCAGTAGCTGGAATGTGTTTTTTACTATCAACTGTCCTTGAATTCATAGTGAATTGAGCACTTATTGAAAAGGAGAGGAAAAAAAACTCTTATAACTTGCTTACATGCTGCATGGGTAACATGTAAATCCTAAGAACTTTCATTTCAATCGAACTCAGACTCTTATTCAATTACTACAAAAATTGAACAGCATTTTTTTAATTCCCACTCTTTTTCACCAGAGAGACATTGTGCCAAGCTTCCAGAAACTATAATGAAGATCATTAAAAGAAAACTCCTTTGAAGTTTTAACTGAGAGATTGATTACAAATACGTATATTCTGCTTTATGTTGTATGTAAAATATAATGGTTGTGCAGCATAACTCTATTATCAATGGACTCAATAATCAAAGTTTCACCTACCCATGCTTAAAAAGTATTCCTCCCCCAGAGTGTTGTGTGTCTCTTTGGGTTCAGCAGTGTAGTTCTACAGTATGGTTCCAACTCTAGTATGATCAAAACACTGGGTTTGGTATTTTTCTTGGTTTTATGTATCCACATGAAGTTTTGGAACATATACCCCATAGTTGCATGTGTCATTCTGTATCCCTTATGCATACTTACCTACTGAACAACAGACAAAAACCAGTAGCCTCTCAAAACTGAGACATGGCACACCTGATAAATGCATCTTACAAACATGTTATATAGCACACAACAGCTCATAGAGATTTCAAATTTTATATATATATATGGGGTATTTTTTTAAGTAAGGTCCGTTTTGTTGTAGACACTAGTAGTTTGCGTGCATACCGCAACGAGCACGTACGTCATGTACCGGCATGCCTTGGGAACAACTGTGCTCAGTTTCCGCTCTGTAGCTAACCTGTACGGTTCTGTTCTGTGCTTTAAAAATGTTTAAGACTATCAACTTACCCGCCGCATGTGAGGTTCGCTCAGTGATACAGTTTTTGTCAGCAAGGAACCTGCCTGCTGCAGAAATTCATCGACAGATTTGTGAAGTGTACGGTGATACTGTTATGAGTGAAAGCAAAGTGCGTAAGTGGGTACGACAATTCAAAGATGGCCGTGACAACGTCCATGATGAGGACCGCTCCGGTCGTCCTTCTTTGATTACAGACGATTTGGTGGCTTCAGTTGAAGTGAGGATTCGTGAAGAGGGTATTTTAAAATTGGTTCAGAGGTATGATAAGTGTTTGAACAAACTTAGCAACTATGTCAAAAAATAGAGTGAAGTATGTACTTTCTGAAAATAAATTTACGTTTTTGAAATAAACTTTCGTTGTGTACTTATGTTCAAACGGACCTTACTTAAAAAATACCCCTCGTGTGTGTGTGTGTGTGTGTGTATGGTTATATTTATACTATTTAATGTATTTAAGAACTAGAGTTCTTAAGCTATACATTTTAAACTATACATTGGACAAAGAAGATCAATCTCTACTTTTAATTAAGTAGAGATTGATGTTCTTTGTCCAATGTATAGTTTAAAATGAAGTATTCTGTGGTCTATGAATGAAAATGAGAAATTAAATTCTGAAGTTCATGAGTGAGTGGATTAGATTTTCCTTTTAAACTGAGATGTGGATTGAGTTACTGGAAATCAATGCTTTTGGGAATGTAAAAATGTGGAAAGCCAGATTTCTAAAAAGCAATTTAGGGATAAAATTGAGAGATTGTTCCAAAAGAAGAAAATGGAGAAAAAGAGATAATAACCAAAGCTATTACTAGATACACAAACACTTTAGAAACTCCTATTTATGATGTTACACAGAGAAAAGATTAGAGACATCAAATTGTACTGACAACTCAATGGGGTAATTTTGAGAAAAGTTGTATCTTAGAGGAAAAAATCACTCCAATCTCTGTCCATTTTATTTATGCAAATTTATTTGTATTTATTCAAAAGACTTATATGAGTCAGACATCATTGTCTGAAATTTTAAAAAATTGTTAGTAATCTGATTCTTATAGCAATTGGTGGTCACCATATTTTGATTTTTAAAAAGTGTATAGTTAAAGTTCAACTACCTAAATAATAAATGAGGCAAATTTATAGTACTGGATATAGATATATTTATAAACTATATTATGACTGATTATGACAGCTATCAGTGTCATCAGATGACAACTTTGTGACATATCCATCACTGATGCCACTACTATATCGTCCTTTGACACATGCAGAGGTGCCCCTTCTCAAAATCATCAAATACTTGACTTGAAGGAGTCCAACTTGTTAGAGATTTAATTTTTCACGAAGGTCTTTCCTGAATAATTTCAGCAATTTTCTTCTCAATGTAATTTGGAACACATTCTGTGTAAAATTAAGATGTGATAGTTATCCACAGAAAACAGAATTTTCTGCATGGAAAATAATAGATTATCATATAATATATTTTCTGTGGAGAGAGAGAGCTGTAATTAGAGATTTGTTGTACACAAAATGCACACATGCTTCTTTTGAAACAGTATAGAAAATAATAATGTATTAATTCCTGCATAGAAAAGCTTATTGTTTGCACAGAAAATGCTGTTTTCTGTACAAAACCATGAGTAAATTCTGTGGAGTACAAGTTAAATGCAGTTTTTGTCTGTGCAGAGAACAACATTTTTGGGTCAGAAATTAATATTACTGCATTTAAATATTATCTTCCATGAATAAATGTTTTATATGCAGAAGACGTCGATTTCTGCAAAAAAATTTTTTGCTGATTTCTGCAAAAAATGGACAGAATAAGTCCTAAGCTATGTCTATATATTTCAGTATCATAATAGCTTCTTAATATTTTGATAATTCCAACAATTTCCTCTGCATTAAATTCTCTTAGTTAATGTATTTCATATAAACTTTCTTTTACATGTGGATAGCAGTGTTCCAGTGCATTTTTTACTTGGACTTTCAGAATCTTTTTTACTTTTTTGACTCAGACTTTCAGAATCTTTTTTGACAAAGCTGCTCAACAAAAGCTTCTGATCAATTGAAGCCATGTGCCAAAAAGAGAAGTTCTCTTATAGATATGAAACTGGCTACACAACAAGAGTTGCTGGTTGCTCTTATATTTTGTTATAATGTTGTTGTTTCACTTTGTTTTATGTTACTGTTTCTATAGTTTGATGTGTTATATTTTTAACTATGTGTGTTTCGGGCTCATTGCCCGAGTCCCTCTGGGGAGATGGAGGTGTATTATTATTACAATAGTAATAATAATAATGATGATTATGGTTTTCACCAAATTGTTCAGAATGTTCAAATAAAATGTGGTAGGTGAGATGCCCAGAAGGATTTTTCCAAACTAGAGGGGTGGAAATTAAAATAGCAAATGTAGTGTGATATAAACAAATGTAAAATGAACCACATAGGAACACAATGTAAAATAAAAAATAATATAAAACAAAAAAAACCAGTTTCATATGTGTGATTCTGAGAAATGTATATTCTTTTAAGGTGACATTGTGGAAAAAGCAATACACCATAACTTGGTTCAAAATTTAGCAGTATCACTTAATAAAAAATTGTCTTAAGAGCCACATTTTGTGTATGAGCCATTTGTGTTTGTAATTTGAAACAATTCTCCTTTCTTTTCTCCCTCCCTTTTTACTTTCTTTGCAGATCATGTTGTATGTGAGGAGGAATTCAAATATGCAATGCTAGCTTTAAACTGTATTTGTCCAGCTACATCAACACTCATCACCTTGTTAGTTCATACGTCAAGAGGGCAGTAAGTATCAGAATTTTAATCAAGTGGTACAAAAATGCTTCTATTATTCCTTGAAATTAAAATCAACCCATTTAGATTACAGCAGACTCTTGGTATCTTCTGGATTTGATTCCAGGAAAACCTCCCCGCCCCCAAGGGTGGATAACAAAATCCATGGATGCCCAAGTCTCACTATATATAATGGCAAAGTGAAATGATATCCCTTCTGTAAAATGACAAAATCAATGCTTGCTGTTTAGAAAATTTTAAATACTTTTGAAACATGGATGCAGAATCCATGGTTATGCAGGGTTGGTTGTATGCCACTTTTCTCCATAATTCAAACTATGTTTTTCTTTGGATTAAGATGTTAAGTCATCTGCCTATGATGTGTATGTACTTTTTCTCTCAATCTCTGTCCCTCTTTTTTCTCTTCCCTGTGTTTTACTCCATATCACCTGAGATCTGAAGACAATTGCATGTGCCTTGCTCTTCAATGTGCAATTTGCAAAGTTTCAAAGCATAGCAGAACTTGTGTTGACCGGGTCTTCTGGAGTAGTTTGCCTCCAGAAGACCTGGTCAACACAAGGTCATCCTCACTCTAGATCAGAGGTTCTCAAACTGTGCTCCAGGGAGCCTTTGGAGCCCCATGAGTTACAGTAAGGAGCTCCATGGCAACATCTTGCTTCCCACCTCCCCTTCTTTCATCCTCCTGAAAAATGCACGGAAATTAAAGTTTTGAGCTTCTGGAAACAGCAGCCGCATCCCCTGGCACAGACTCTTTCTTCCTCACACTGCCCAGACTCATTTTTTTCACCACCCAGACCTTTCCCCCCTCCTTTCTTTGCTTCTAAAACCCTATTTCCCTCAACCACTCAGGGTGTGCATTAATTGTGTTTCTCCTACATAGCAGGAGGGAGTTGGACTGGATGGCCTCTGGAGTTTCTCCTATTATCAGTATTATTGCCACCCACCACTGAAATAAGAGACTAGAGTAAAGTGTGGATTGAAATATGGGCAACTTTTATTTAAATCTTACCTGAAATTAACTTTATGTGACTTGCAAAAAGTAACCAAAGGGGCTTGAACCTGGTGTGGATTTAAGCCGAGGTAGTGGCCCTCCATGACATACACCTTGGCTAAATTGGGTAAAACATCTGGGTCCCTGGATATAGTAAACTTTAACGTTTCCAGTGTGACCACTCAGGAAAATGTATAAAAATTCTGCCCCAAGATCAAGGAATTTTATGGAGGCCAGAACTCTCCCCATTTCAAGGCCATTTCCATTTGCTCTCACCCCAATGACATAAACACAGGTGAGGGTTTCTGTTCCTGGCCAAAGGGTGCCTTAGGTGCACACCAAATGTAAACCTATGACTGCTTTCTGTGGGTTGGTCTATTAAAAAATACCCAAACTCCCAATTTGGCCTTGTAAACAGTATAGTGTAGGTGACCACCTCTTCCCACTAGAATATAGGAGAAAAAAATCCTACCCGGCCTCTGTAGGTGACCAATATATTATACTGTTAATGGGCCAATGTGGAGGTCGAACTGAGCTCAATGGGCAAGATTCTCCCTAAGGTAGCCACACCCCAGAAAATAGTTCCTCTGACTGGCCTCCCTTCAGCGTGTGTGGCAAAAGGCTTCCCTGCACCAGCTGCGTGGGGCTTGGGAAGCAAGTTGTTGTTGTTGTTGTTGTTATTATTATTATTGGAGCCCCCGGTGGCGCAGTGGGTTAAACCCCTGTGCCGGCAGGACTGAAGACCAACAGGTTGCAGGTTCGAATCCGGGGAGAGGCAGATGAGCTCCCTCTATCAGCTCCAGCTCCTCATGCGGGGACATGAGAGAAGCCTCCCACAAGGATGATAAAAAACATCAAATCATCCAGGCGTCCCCTGGGCAACGTCCTTGCAGACGGCCAATTCTCTCACACCAGGAGTCACTCCTGACACGACAAAAAATTATTATTATTATTATTATTATTATTATTATTATTATTATTATTCCAAAGGCTGTGTGGCCTTCTGCTGAGGATGCTTTGATTGTGCTTTTCCTGCATGGCAGAATGGGGTTGGACTGGATGTCCTTGTGGGTTTTCCACTTAAATACTGTTAAGTTTGTATTGGTTAAAATTGTTCTTTTTAAAAATATTGTATTGTTCTTTCTTTCCTTTTTTGGGCTCTGTGAATTAATTCACACAAACGCTCTCCATCCATCTGACACTGGCCCAGCCCATTCCTGATATATACACATTTTATATCTTATAATATATAATTTATAAACATTTACTGAGGCTTCCCAAAAAACTTTTGCTTCAAAAATGCTCCATGGCTGAAAAAAAAAGGGGGGGACCCCTGCTCTAGATTATTTCATATAAATCAAACAGATCAAATTAATGAAATCTGTCATGGAAAAATTAAGGACCTGAAATCTGTTTTTGGAAAGAATGACTTCTCCTCAGAGAGCTGGTACTCACATTCTGGAGCCAGCCTGAAAACATTACTTTAGGAAATGCATCTCTAAATTCCATATATCATATGTTTCCATATATCACCGAACCTTCTACTATAATTAAAGGTAAGATTGGGATTTGCTTAGGGAAGGTAAGCATTTCTAATCACTATGTCATGCAGCTGCTCTCAGTTTCTTAGCAACACTTGAAAGCAATGGCAGTGATAGCTTTTTTCTTTCTTTTTTTTTGTCTGTGTGGAGGAATCATCTTGAGTTATCTGTCAATGTGCTGAACCCACTTTGGGGACAGGGTTCCGCATGTAGGGTATCCTATTTTAAGTTCACACTAAAACTCAAAATGCATTTACTATTCTACTGACAGGGAAAGTACCAACAATCTGTGCCTGAGAGATTATCTTCTACCTCCCATCAGCTCTTGAGACTGGATGCAGTTGTACAAAGGTAGATTTGCCAATACAAACAATGTAGGGGATAGATTTGACACATCATAGCATATTAAGCTGGATGGCCTGTATATAAACATCCAGACCTGCACCTCTACTTGTGTACACTCAAGGAATCAATCTGATTTATTGAAGTGTTGATTTAAAATACATCAATTAGTTCAGCAAGACTAAAGCATAGGTAGCAATTGAGTGACTCTCCAGGTGTTGAACTGTTCTAGAGTTAGGCTAAGATATTAGCTCCAACACTTTCTATCAAAAACAAATGCAGAGCTGAATGTGGGACCTTGAATCCAATTAGAAGGGAGACAAATGCAAAGGTATTCTTTTGCAAAAGGATTGTTTTCAATCTAAACTGTTCATAGCACTGGTCAAGAAGGAGAGACATTACTTGGATGCATCAGTGATTTATCAGTGATGGTTGCTCTTATATTCTGTTCTAATGTTGTTGTTTTATTCTGTTTTATGATGTTGTTTTTGTATTTTAGTGTGTTATATTTTAACTATGTTTTTTCAGGCTTTTCCCCATGTAAGCTGCCCCGAGTCCCTCCGGGGAGATTGAGGCAGGGTATAAAAATAAAATAATAATAATTACGAGGGGTATTTTTAAAGTAAGGTCCGTTGGAACATAAGTACACAATGAAAGTTTATTTCAAAAAAGTAAATTTCAGAAAGTACATACTTCACTCTATTTTTTGACATAGTTGTCAAGTTTGTTGAAACACTTATCATACCTCTGAACCAATTTTAAAATACCCTCTTCATAAAAACTTGCCACCTGCTCCGATAACCAAGAGTTCACTGTAATCAAAGAAGGGCGACCGGAGCGGTCCTCATCATGGATGTTGTCACGGCCATCTTTGAATTGTCGTACCCACTTACGCACTTTGCTTTCACTCATAACAGTATCACCGTACACTTCACAAATCTGTCGATGAATTTCTGCAGCAGGCAGGTTCCTTGCTGACAAAAACCGTATCACTGAGCGAACCTCACATGCGGCGGGTGAGTTGATAGTCTTAAACATTTTTAAAGCACAGAACAGAACCGTACAGGTTAGCTACAGAGCGGAAACTGAGCACAGTTGTTTCCGAGGCATGCCGGTACACGACGCACGCGCTCGTTGCGGTATGCACGCGAACTACTAGTGTCTACAACAAAATGGACCTTACTTAAAAAATATTCCTCATATAATTATAATTATTATAATTACTATTACTATTATTATTAAAGAGCTTAAGCTTTATATTGACAAATGACCTCATCACATTGAGAGGAGAAAGCATGGGTGACTGCTTTTAGCGTAGAGACTCAAGACTTGTCCCTCTTATATTGTTTCGATTTCTGCCTCCTCACCCGTGTGGAAACCTAAGAGCTGGCAATACATTCATCTTACATACATCACACAGTCAATATTCTGTTTTTTTTAAAAAAAAATCAGGAGAAACAACAATATCTAAAAGCCAAGAAGTCCCTTGCCCTGCCCAAAGACCCTTAACATAAAAGGAGATTGACCCCAGTTTAAAACCACTTCTTTCCGTGGGATAATATTGTTCAGCCCCAAATTCCATATGATAGAAGCAACAGTGCTCTAGGTTAAAACCACTTCTTTCCATGGGATAATCTTGTTCTGCCCCAAATCCCATATGATACAAGACAGGACATTTCTGCAGGTTCGCAGCTTGGGTGTGATCTTGGACTCGTCGCTGAGCCTGGAACCCCAGGTTTCAGCGGTGACCAGGGGAGCATTCACACAGTTAAAACTTGTGCGCCAGCTGCGCCCGTACCTTGGGAAGTCTGACTTGGTCACAGTAGTCCACACTCTGATTATATCCCGTATAGACTACTGCAATGCTCTCTATGTGGGGTTGCCTTTGAAGACTGCTTGGAAGCTTCAAATGGTCCAGCATTCGGCAGCCAGGTTGCTAACAGGAGTGGCACTCAGGGATCATACTACTCCTCTGTTTCGCCAGGTCCACTGGCTGCCAGTTTGCTACCGGGGACAATTTAAAGTGCTGGCGTTAGCCTATAAAGCCCTAAACGGTTCTGGCCCTACTTACCTCTCTGAACACATCTCCTCCTATGAACCAGCTAGGACACTAAGATCATCTGGGGAGGCCCTGCTCTCTGTCCCACCTGCATCACAGGCATGCTTGGCGGGGACGAGAGACAGGGCTTCTCAGTGGTGGCCCCTTGGCTGTGGAACGCCATGCCTGCAGATATCAGATCGGCCCCTTCCCTACTGGTGTTCCAGAGGAAAGTGAAGACCTGGCTGTTCGAACAAGCATTTGATTAAACAGTGTAATTGATGTTTTGTATCAATGTTGTGCACTGCTTTGAGTCACTTGAGGGCTGAGAAAAGTGGTATATAAATAAAGTAAATAATAATAATAATAATAATAATAATAATAATAATAATAATAAATAAATAAATGTTTAACCCCGGAACACGTGATAAGGTTTGTGCCTCTCCATGCTTGAAAAGAGACTGAAGTGTCCGACAAGGGGGAAATTTCTCAGTGTAATGAGGTTGGTTGCCAAAGTTCCCTCCTTTCAGGACATGTCTGCCTCTTTTCAATCAAGGAGGGCTATGCATGATGGTTGGAAGTAGTTTAACTCATGTGATGAGCTCAATGCCTCTCCATGCTTGAAAAGAGGCTGAAGTGTCCTATGACCGGGAAATTTCTCAATGTGATAAGGTGGATAGTGAAAGTATGCATGAGTAGCAGTTGTTTAACATATGTGGCAAGGTTTATAAAATAAAACATTCATGTCCCTTATTAGCACAAACATAATAATCTCAGTAAATGAATAGATATTCCCAGGTTTGGATAGTCAGTTTCAAAATTGTCCTAACTATTTTATTTGTGGGATTAACCCTTGCAATTACAACAATTATGAAGGAAACTTGTGAGGCAGACTCAAAGCTTGATTCAGAGATTGTAATCCACAGAATGGCTTTGGTTATAATAGTTTAGGAACTCAGAAATAGAAAACTAAATGCTTGAATATTGTTTTGTCCCCCAAATTGCAACTCCCAGAAGCCATGGTCACATACCAGCACCGGGATTGTGGCACAGCTGGCTGAGTGTCAGCTGCATTAAGATCACTCTGATCAAAAAGATAATGAGTTCGAAGCCAGCCTGGATTGGAGTGGGTTTCCAATCAATTGTCGACATGTTATCGACCTTTGCAACCCGAAAGACTGTTGCATCTGTCACGTAGGAAAATAAGATACCACCTTAAAGTATGGGGAGGCTAAATTAACTGATTTATGAGGCCATAAAGAAGACTCCAGCAAAGCATTCCAGCGGGGAAGCATGCGGGGAATGCGGAAGTGCTTCATCAGTGTCGCAGATGGACGATGAAAGCGACAGCTCCCCTGGGGGCCAGAAAAAGTTAAAAATAGCCTCTGTGTATGTCTGTATATGTTTGTATGTCAAAAATTGTCATTGAATGTTTGCCATATATGTGTACACTGTAATCCGCCTTGAGTCCTCTGCGGGGTGAGAAGGGCGGAATATAAAAGCTGTAAGTAAATAAATAAATAAATACCAGTAGTGAAAAACACTACTGGTATATGGTTTGGCTTTATTGATTTTTTTTTTGTATCAGGAGCAACTTGAGAAACTGCAAGTCGCTTCTTGTGTGAGAGAATTGGCTATCTGCAAGGAGGTTGCCCATGGGATGCTCAGATGTTTTGATGTTTTACCATCCTTGTGAGAGGCTCCTCTTGTGTCCCTGCATGGGGAGCTGGAGCTGACAGAGTGAGCTCAACCCTCTGTCCCCAGATTCAAACCGCTGACCTGGTGGTTAACTGTCCTGACAGCACAAAGGCTCTGGTGGGAGCTCCACTGATGCATCACTGATATATATAAAACGGATTGTTTCTCTTTCTCTCCCTCTTAGCAGGGTGACAATATCTTTAAGAGCTCTATGCCAGGGAAGAATGTCAACAGCTGCATCCTTTCCCCATCATAGAGATGCAATATGGGAAAGGTTATGCCAAATACATTTCTACTAGTCAGGTAGCTTTCACAGTAAAAGGAGCCTGCCAAAACAACTCATGTGAAACTGTTCCTGTGATTATATGTCTGGCTCAGAATTGTGTTACATTGAATTCTAGTCTTGCAATGCCAGTGGTGAAGTCCATGCTATATCCCACTAAGAAAACATGAATGTTACAAGGAGAATCTGGCCATTGTGTTTGTGACTAAAACACTGGCATGGACTCAATGGGCTCTTTTGCCCTTTGTATAACCCCCACCCCCAGATGAATAAAAACCAAAAGCATCATGGCAGGCAAATGTTAATTTACTAATGATGTCGATTTCATGGGCACCTGCTGAAAGAATCAAAATGGAAATCAGCAGTCCCCAACAACTGTGAATGGTAATAACTAATCAGTATTAATGTATTCAGGCAAAAGTATGCACAGTTCTGAAAATGTAGTAATTATCTTTTTTAAATGGGTGTTAATTAATATAAAATGAAAAGGAGGGGTGTGCAAAAATCCATTGTTTTCATTCTGTTTTTGTTTTGAATTTCGGGTGCTCCCCCCTCTCCAGTTCTGTTTTCTGAAGAATCTTCCCAAAACAGAAACGGAACTCTGGATCCTGAATTCAGAATGCCTCCCCATAATCTTCTGGAATCTTCCCAAAAACAGAATGGGGAGGGATATAATAATAATAATAATAATAATAATAATAATAATAATAATAGTAATAATAATAATTTTTGTTGTGTCAGGAGCAAGTCGCTTCTGGTGTGAGAGAATTGGCCGTCTGCAAAAACGTTGCCCAGGGGACACCTGGATGATTTGATGTTTTTTTCATCCTTGTGGGAGGCTTCTGTCATGTCCCCGCATGAAGAGCTGGAGCTGATAGAGGGAGCTCATCCGCCTCTCCCCGGATTCAAACCTGCGACCTGTGGGTCTTCAGTCCTGCCGGCACAGGGGTTGAACCCACTGCGCCACTCCAGTGGATATTTCTATCCAGTCACTTCTCTACCCCCGAAGGGGGACTCAGGACGGCTTACATTTAGTAGTGCTATGATACCACTACATAAGAATTACAATAATAAAATCACAGTTGAATACAAAATAGCAAACATTAAAACAGTAAATACAGCATAATTAAAACCATAAAACAATATCACAATATCCTCAGCCATAACGTCTATCCAGTCTATATCCAGTCCATATCCAACTATAGTGCTCCTTATGTCTGTTGTCCAAAAGCCTGGCCCCAAAACCAGGATTTTAATTTCTTCCCGAAGGCCAGGAGAGATGGGGTTGACCTTATCTCATTTAGAAGTGCGTTCCATAGGCGGGGGGCCATGTCTGAGAAGGCCCTGTCCTTCGTCCCTGCCAAATGCATTTGCGATGTTGACAGAAGTGAGAGCGGGGCCTCCCCAGATGATCTTAGATTACGAGGTGGGACATAGTGACAGATGCGTTCGGACAAGTAAGCTGGGCCAGAACCATATAGAGCTTTATAGGTCAAAACCAGCACTTTGAATTGAGCTCGGAGATGGACCGGCAGCCAGTAGAGCTGACATAGAGGGGTGGTATGTTCCCTATATGTTGCTCCAGTTAGTAATCTGGCTGCCACCCATTGGACTAGTTGGAGTTTCCAAACCGTCTTCAAAGGCAGCCCCACGTAGAGTGCGTTGCAGTAATCTATGGACGACCGTAGCCAGATCAGACTTCCCAAGGTACGGGCGCAGTTGGCGCACAAGTCTTAACTATTCAAAAGCTCTCCTGCCCACCGCCGAGACTTGGGGTTCCAGGGTTAGTGATGAATCCAGGATCACCAAGTCTCCAAGGGGACTTGGGATGGCTTACATGAGGCCAAGCCCAACAAATACATCAGCACAACAACAAAGCAAGCAAGCAAATAAAATTTGAAACTTACTTACTTGCTTAAACTAAAACACAATTAAAACAGAATGGATTTCTGCTGTTTTTCACACCCCTAGGTTTTGTCGTTTCTAAGAATGTTTAATGTTTAATGTTTAATGTCCAGTCTCGATAAAATAGTGAAGAGTAGAGACATCAGACTGGCAACAAAGATCCGCCTAGTCAAAGCCATGGTATTCCCTGTAGTAACCTACGGATGTGAGAGCTGGACCTTAGGGAAGGCTGAGCGAAGGAAGATCGATGCTTTTGAGCTGTGGTGTTGGAGGAAAGTGCTGAGAGTGCCTTGGACTGCGAGAAGATCCAACCAGTCCATCCTCCAGGAAATAAAGCTCACTGGAGGGAAAGATACTAGAGACAAAGTACTTTGGCCACATCATGAGGAGACAGGAAAGCCTAGAGAAGACAATTATGCTGGGGAAAGTGGAAGGCAAAAGGAAGAGGGGCCGACCAAGGGCAAGATGGATGGATGGCATCCTTGAAGTGACTGGACTGACCTTGAGGGAGCTGGGGGTGGTAACGGCCGACAGGGAGCTCTGGCGTGGGCTGGTCCATGAGGTCACGAAGAGTCGGAGACGACTGAACGAATGAACAACAACAACAAGAAGAATGTTTAGCATGGAGGCTTCAATGTGAGTAAGGCAGTGAATCCATGCAAGGCTTTAGTTTGCTATCCAAATGCTGAATCCATTTTGGGAAATAGGGTTCAATAACTTAGATAATTCCAAAAAAATCCAAATTAAAACTCATTGTGGATTTAGTGCCCCATTGACATTGAAGCCAAGGGCTACCACTGATGTTTAACACTCTCTTTTTTGGTAAATTTACAGCCTTTTAAAATAACATTTTAAGACACTATCACAGCACCTGCCCTTGGTGAAATCGCATATTAGATATTTTCCTGGATATAATGTGGATAGGTAAATAGCAGACAGAGAGGAAACAAAATGTTTTGTAACACCCTGAAGAGGAATCCCTTCTCAGCAATTCTGTGCATGACTATGTATTATGGAAAGGACAAGACTATGAAGGAGAGCTTAGTTGTACTATCGTTTATTACCAATCGTATATTACAACCATGGATGAAGAAAAGGCACCCACTTTTTATCTGTATAGCAACATGCTGATTTTCACCCTTTTGTATTTCAGAGAGGGTCAGCAGTCACCAGAACAATGGCAGAAAATGTACGGCAGATGCTCTGGTAATGAAGTCTATCACATTAACCTGGAGGAGAGTGTGTTTTTTGCTGAATATGAGGGAAAGAGTTTCACATATGCATCTTTCCATGCACACAAAAAGTATGTTTCATTTCTAACAGTGGAATTTAACATGACTTCCTTTGATAAATTCTTGCTTTGATCCACTGGAAATGCATGGGCTTCCTGGTCTGATGGGTGAAACCTGCATGGTGGCTGATAGGTTGCAGACCCATCTGCTTTGAACATTTTGCAATATTAAACTGTTAAATCTGCACTCCTTTCCTGAGTCCAGTGCTAGAACACTTATCATTTACTTAGTGAATTCCTAAGTGAAATTAGGAGCAAGAGTTTCTAAGGAAGTGATGCCCTGCCTGAACTCTATTATCCCTGTCACCATTGTTTTTATTATGCTACTAGCTGTACTTGCCATGTGTTGCTTTGGCTAACCTTCCCTCCCTCCCTCCCTCCCTCCCTCCCTCCCTCCCTCTTTCTTTCTTTTTTGTTTCTCTCCTTCCTTCCCTTTTTTCTTCCTTTCTCTCCTTCCTTCCCTTTTTTCTTCCTTCTCTCCTTCCTTTCTTCTCTTCCTCTTCCCTCCCTTACTCCCCTTTTTCCCCCTTATCTTTCTCTCCTTTCTTTCTCTCTGCCTATTCTTGGACTGCAACTCCCAGAAATCCTCCTGATCAATTTATCTATCTATCCACCTACCTATCTCTATCTAATCAAGCTATCTTATCTAACTGGAGGATAGCTGTAAGTTGCAATCCAAAAATAGGAAATTGGAAATATGAAGGGATTGGGATGCTCTCAAAGAAATCCAAGGAGAAGAAAGCTTGCATCTTGGAAACAGTGCATTTGGATCATCCTCCTCTCCTAAAGGGTCTGGTCTAGGGGATGCTGGGAGCTGTAGTCCGGAAGAGAGTGTAGATATGCTATTGTGTGGTTTGTTTGCCAAGGAGAGTCGTTTTTGTGCATGTGCTATAGCCTATTTTTGCTTTTTTGGCTTTTTAAGTCCTTTCTGCTGGGTTTTTATGAGTGATGGTCACTCATTGGCCTGATAAGTGTATTGTGTCCAAATTTCATGTCAATTTGTCCAGTGGTATTTGAGTTATGTCAATCCCACAAATGAACATTACATTTTTATTTATATGGATGATTATATCGCACCTCAGAGTAGAACCACCTTGCTTAAGACACCAAAGAACACAACAGCAGTTGTCTTTGTAGTTTTATTTAAAATAAAAGATAAAAAGTTCAAAAAGCAAAAGTATATTTCAAAAGATCGATCCAAGGTAACATAGGCAAACAAGATCCATGAAGACACAGGCAAGGCAAAGTCCCTTAAGTGCATGACAAACTCCTAAAACATGAACATGAACAGCTACAAGATAAATCCCAAGGTCCCTTGGTTAAAGTGTGAAGTTGCTCTGACACTGGGGCACATTCAAACAATCTGTTTAACACTTTTGGACCAGCATGAAGGCGTTCCTATGGCCTCAAGCCTCTCTCTCTCACGTCCCGGCGATCCTGACACTCCTTCACACTTTCCATTCCAAGCGATCAGCCCTATCTAAATCACCGGCCCCATCGAGGTCAAATCCCTAGTTATCTGGCTGAGAACTATCCTCCCTTTCTACATCCTTCCTTCATCAGGCACCTGGCTCTCAGTCACAGTAGTTTCACTTTCCCGAGTGTCAACCCTTGCTGTGGGAAACAACTGAACTCCCTGATCCTGGTCTTCCCCATTTAAAACAGGAACATCCTTGCTTCCCATCTGATCATCCCCATCAGAATCATTGATACCATCACTCTGTGATTCCAGCTGAGTCACAACAGATTCATGTTAAACAGAGAACCAAGATTTTGGTCTTTGGAAGACATATTTCACCTTCATTCCCATGCACCACAAACAGCTTGACAACACTGCTGTTTCACCATTCTAGCTAGAACTTCCTCAATTCCTTCTTTGATTTCCACTATATTACCAATGCTACGGTATATCTACTCATAAATCCAGTAGATTGCTGGCTTGAGCTTTTTTTGGCTTTACAGGCCCTGGACCCAGCTGATGTCTCTTGCTCACATGAAAGGGTCAGGTGCTTTATCTCATTCTAAGTAAACAAAAGTAACAAAGTGCAAAGCAATTACCTTAATAAGGTAAACTTGACATTTCTGCTGATTAGTTGCAATGTATTTTGCTCAGCCTTGTTCTTCTTCAGGGATTTTAATTAGTGTTCTGACCCAGTAAGTGGCATTTAGGAAAAGTTGCTTATACTTCAAAAGTTAATTCAAGTATTGCTTCCTTGGATTTCTTATCAAGTGAAAACGGAGGACAAATTCTCCTCGCCCTTTGGTTAACCAACATAAATTAAAAGCATGTATTATCTACCACTGTGATAGTTTTCCTTTGATAACCAGTTGTTTATATACATGATTGAATAAATTATATTTTAGAGTGGGCTGCTCTCATCTTCACATATGAGTCTCAGAGATGTAACAAATTATAAAGTGATGATTTAAAATTGAGAGACAATTTTTCCCTTTACCTATTCTCTATAGTTTATAAATAGATTCTAAGAACACATTATAGTTAGAAAAGTGTCTGGCAGTAGATCTTTACTCAGAAATATAATACAGTTTTACTTAGATGATTTCTGTTTTTGCAATAGAACATTATACTTCAAATTATTTGTCCTCAAAAGAGAAATATAATTTTTATTTACAGAGGTAGCTGTCTTAACATAGAAAAAAACTCCTGTTTCCCTCTTTACTTTGCTGTTATAACAGAAGAACTGTATTTGATCTCACTTTACTGTGTTCTCAGAATTTGGGGAAAACCAATTTTTGTGCAATTTTGGGTTCAGAAATAGGCCAATTGTATGTCTGTGGATGGAGTTCTATTAGCAAGACCTCAATGCCGTGGGGTTTTTGGCAGGATGCCTGGGAAAACCACCTGTTCCATGGAGCAATTTTTTAGGCAGCCTTTGCACAATCTCCACAATTGCATTAGAAGAACTACTTAGATAAGAGATGTAGGTGAAAAAGTCTGTTTGAAGTTGGCAGCCTTATTCTCTCAACAAAATACCACGCGTTTTGCCTACTTCCCCTTGAGCACTGCAGCAATGTAACAAAGTAATATACCTGTAGTGCCAACAGGATTCTTTCTAGGCAATGTGTGTAACATCTGTATATACTCTAAATGCTAGAGTATATAATTGACATCACATATTTGACCAACTGAATGCAGGTTTTTACCTTGAATGTCCAAAATCCTAAAAACCTGAAAGTATCTTCAGAAAAACAAATCTTGTTTCAGTTTTGTTTCTGTTTCTCCAAGTCACTGAAATATTTTGGGATGAAGTTTTTAGACTTGTTTTCCAAGGGAACTAACCCAACCTTCTGTGGTCTAGCACGGCAGTTTTCTATCATCCTCCCAAACCCAATTTGCCCGTTAATTTGTAGGAAAATCAATCAGAGTGTCCATGGCTGCATATTTTGCCATCGTTCCTCCATCTCAATAATATAACAATGCGACAATAACATCTTGGATGCTCTACTTGCAAATCAAAGTAGTATGTGGTAGATGATGTATGTGGTTCCTTACAGACTCTAATGCAGTTGTGGTTGCAGAGCAACCCACAGACATTTCACAAACTCCAACTCCTTGCCACTACCATGTCACCACAGTGAAATAGTTGGAATTAGAGTGGCCAATCATAAAGTACCGGTTATCTGGATTAATATTCCCATGCAATGGTTTGATATATCTCATAGAGTGAAATATCCACCATGGGTATTCTGGTGAAAACATGCTGTAAGGGAGATAAGGGTCTTTTATTACAAGTGACAGGGGGGAACCTTTCTTTGCAATCCCACCGCTGCCACCACTGTAAAGGAATATACGAGGGAATTACAGGTGATGAGAGAGAATGGTGTGTGTGTACTGGTAGGTTTGCTGCCACCACCCCAAATTACAGTTTGAGGAATTGTCTTGTTGTACTTGAGGTAAAATGTCCCTATACACCAGCTCTTCCTTTTGGCTCCCTTTCTGGTGACTGAACTATAGAGAAGTGAAGGCTTACTGGATCTAACCTTATATGAAGAAACAAGACTGAAGTAGATTAACAGTAAACTAGAGAACAGGTTTATTGAAGTATTTGAAGCAAACACCTGACTACTGAGAGGTACATATGCATAATTTGTTTCTGAAGCACAGACTTATTAAGCAAATGGTTTCTTTAGAAGGAGTAACTTTTCCTTAACATGAGCTACTTTCCTCACACTATCCTGTAATATGTAACAGTGCGTTTCTTTGACCAGCCGCCCCTGGCTGCCTTCCAGAGTATCTAGGTTTCCTCTAGACTACTCTGACCTTTAGGGAAATAAACCCACTTGTATTCTGCCCTAATACAAGTAAACAAGCCTTCACTTTGACTACCCTTCCCAACATGGAGGCCAGCTCACTGACTTCCAGGCTGCGGCCTACTAAGAAAAGGTATGAGTTCATTACACATGCATTTTCATACCATGAGTTTCTGTGCATTCCACCCTTCTTTCTGGGACCAGCTTCTTCTAGAGACAACTCATTATGTCTTCTGCTGTTACTGCACATGTGGAGAGTTAAACAAGTACTTCCAGGGATAGTTCCTCCATAAGCTCTCTTCTTGGAAGTGGGCTCTGATTCTTGCTAATCTTTTCTCTTTCATCTTTAGTGGAGTTATCTATTTAACATAACATTGCAGTTTCTCTCTTTGTTTCTTTAGTCTGATTCATGAATTGCTTTTTCTCCATAATTTCACTCATGTGCTAGTTATCACACGTGATCTCCTTTACCAAAGCCTGAATTAAAAGTGAATTTCGCAACTTGGGAATAATTGTGAATACTTCTGGAATCAACAATTAGTCAAGCTTAAGGGAAAAGAAAAGAAATGGCACAAATTCGCTACCGAAGAAGAAAGGGGGAAAGAGCCCAATGATGAGGACAGAGATGAGGACACTGGTTAAGAAGAAAAAAGGGGGAAAGAGCCCAATGATGAGGAAAGAGCCCAATGATGAGGACAGTTGAACAATCAATGGATATTTGAAATAGTCTTAGATCTGTGTTTAGACTAATCTCCAAAATCCTATTATTACTGTTTAAAACTAATAAACATATTTATGTTAAACGTTGGATGTTTAGCTTGCTGCTTTGCTTGATTATTGTACAAAGCATGATACAACCTGGTGCACAGTATGAATTGTACCTTCTGTATTTGAATAGAGTTTGTCATGCAAACATTGCAGAGATTTACACAAACCACAGATAATCTACAGTACCTTTGAGACTGCAACTAACTAAACAATCTACTGGATTTATGATAATCTTTGCATGGTGTAATAAAGAGCATGGTTTCCTAGCTTATGCATGCAGAGGCGGCCCTAGGTAATTTTCAATGGTAAACAAACAGTATTTTGCCCCCCCCCCCCCAACCAATCACTGATATATATTTTCTGTTTGTCGTGGGAGTTCTGTGTGCCATATTTGGTTCAATTCCATCATTGGTGGAGTTCAGAATGCTCTTTGATTGTAGGTGAACTATACATCCCAGCAACTACAACTCACATATGTCAAGGTCTATTTTCCCCCAAGAGCGCCTCAAGAGCGCCCCTGGGCAAAATCAACTGTACTGCAAATGCTTACTTTGCGTAATGGGTTGAGCCGCCCCTGTATGCATGTGAGATAAAGTGTAATTCAGTCACGCTGCATGGACAGTCAATAAAAGTGATCCTGTCTCATCAAAACATGAGTTGCATTCATGGAATATTAATGAAAAATTGCTTGCCTATATCACTTGTCACATTCAAAAGCATGTTAGAAGGGATGTGATCACGGTCCCTTTTCAATCACAAAAGTATTTTGCAAGCCCCATAAATATCTAAATTGTGTTGAAGTAATTGCAATCTGGGTTTCTTTAATCAGATATTATATCAGTGTTATTAATCCAGTTCTAGTAAATCATTGTAGAAAAGGCAATCTAGTGAATAGTTTATATAAATAATCTTTCTATTGATCATTCTTCAGATGCTTTTTTCTGATAATGGTGTATAAAACTTCATTGACCGTATGAATGAATATTGTGAATTATTTTGGTCATTTTTGAGGGGTTGGTGTAATGTATTTTCATATTGCTCAGCTTGAGGTTTTGACAGAACATGATATACTCTCAGAAGTGACTATACAAATATTGTAATATCCTATATTTTGTTTAATTCTTGCTAACCTCATGTTATTTTTTCTGTTTTAAAATTAAGGTTTGGTGTCTGTTTAATTGGTGTTAGAAGGGAAGACAACAAAAACATTTTGCTGAACCCAGGTCCTCGCTATATTATGAGTGCCTCAGACATATGTTTTTATATCAACATCACAAAAGAGGAAAATTCAGCTTTCAAGAAACAAGAACAGCACCGGAAAAATCACTTATCTAGATCATTTTACCATGGCCCTTCTCGATTGCCAGTGCACAGCATAATTGCTAGTATGGGTAAGAAAAAGAAAGACCACTCAGTCAGTCAGTCATTGCTGTGTTGATCATAAATTATAACAAAAACAAACACACATGTACCCAGTGAAAGTGAAAAAATTACAGCAAAAAGTTATTAAAAATAATGAGAGAAACAACTTTTTATCACTTTCTGGGAAAGCAGGAGATTGGTTCCAACCTTGCAAGCTAACAAGTTAAACCTGGCATTGACAGTAAGGTTACTTGTTACAAGAAGCCTCCAAAATCCGGAAAGAGAAGATATTTTCTTAAAATGTAGTTTACTGGAATCCTTTTTTAAATGAAATAATCATAATAAATCTAAGTACAATTACAAACTAAGACCCGCATTTATTAGGGGTGTGCAAAATTTCGAGGGGTAATTGGTAAGTCATATAAATTTGTATTAACAAAGTTTACTTACGATTCAAAATTGAGCCCCTCTGAATTGAAACAAAACAAAATATCCCCTTGGGATTCCAGGAAAAAAATCATTAAATTTTGTTAATATTTCACTGATTTTTTTCAAAGTAGACTGAGACTCTGTGGTATAAAAGACAAAGGCGAAGGAGCTGAATCCCATTCTCAGCCAATTACAATTTGGACTTCAAATCCCAGGATATTCTGCACCAGATGGGAACAGCAACTGTGTCTGTGTTTTTCCCCTGCAAGCTCTTCCTTCTCTTCTCCTCTCAGTATGAGAGAGAAAAAATTTAAACAAATCCTAAAAACCAGTGTATGAACGAAATGTTCTGAAACTTGGGGGGCATAGAGTTGTAAATGTGTGCTGCAATTGTAGCAAGTTTCATCATGATATCCCTAAAACTGAGGGAGGGAGGCCAAATAACATTATGAAAAACTAATGATGCCCACAGAACTCCGTAATAGTTTGACACAGAAACCTTACATTTTTTCAAAACACTTAAGAATGCAAGTTGATTTTCATTAAGACAAATGAAGCAGGTTTTTTGAGTCATACACACCTCTAATATTTCTACTAGGGATGTGTGATCCATTTTAAAATGGTTCAAAAGTCATTACTGAACTGGGAGCACTGGCATTTTATTTCTAAAGTGTTTGTAAAGTATAGTTAGTGAAAGATTTATTACAAAGTGTTTGTAAAGTATAGTTAGTGAAAGATTCATTACTATTTCATTACAGTAATTGTGCATAAATTACTATAATTGGGGAAACTTTAGGGGCTCCTTTCATATTCAGCTCTCTCTGGCTGCTGTTAGGGAGGGATACATCTCTCTCTCCACTACTCTGATTGTTGCTTTCTGATGCTGATGCATTCTGGGAAATGTAGTTTAGGGCAGGGCCTTTAGATTTCTCTGGCATAGATCTCCTCCCTTCCTAATCTACATTTCCCAGAGTTCTGTGCTGTTCCCAGCAAGCACCGCTCTCTCTTTTTCCTGCTCCCAATGCTGAGACTCCATTAATTTAGAGGGAAAAAAGGCAAGGCACTAAGAAACTGACTTTGAGAGCCTTCTGAGATTTACATAACCAGAAAAGTATGGGGTAAGTTTTGATTTTTAAATTTTTGGCACAGGCTACACCCACATGCCAGATATTGCCTTGTAAGTCCAATTATGAGGCAAATGAATTATGAGGCAAATGAAAAAAGTGCACATCTCTAATTTATACATCTATACCACACACAAAAATGCAGGGGCCTCCAAGGTGGATGGAGGAGGGGTGTGCTGGCACGGCAGTACCAGGAGATTTGAACCTTTTTTTCTTGCACTGCTAGTTTGTATTAATTTATTTAAGCCATGCTTTTTGCAATCAGGTAGCTTCCCCAAGTTGCAGTGATAGGGCCAGCAACCTGGCAATCATTGTTAGAGTCTTTAGACCCGCCCTTTTCCCAGGGTTTTGGAGGCAAAAGAGGAATTTTGTTCAGTCTCACTGTTTGGAGCCTAACAGCAGGAAGTGTGGGTTTCTCTATCCCACCTGCACAAAGCTCTGCTGGGGGAGTAAAGGAATTGTTCCACAGTTTTTGCTGGGGGGATACAGCCAGCCTTTGCTGGGGCAACAGGACAGTTCCTACAGCCTTCGTGGAGTAATCTAAAGGACACCTCTCAGCTTAGCAGATCTACAGAAATCTTGTCTGGTAAGGGACCACTCGGGCTATTCATAAAGTAGCTTGGAGCCAGGAGTAGGGMCCTTACACCAGCAAGGTAAAGAAAGATTGCCCAAGGAGGGGTCAGAAGATTTCCCTAAGGAAGAAAGGAACAGTTTACCACCAGTTGCCTGCCCCTTGTTGGCAGATTGAGAAAGCTATTAGTTTTCTAAGGTTATAAAGTGTTTAATTCATTTGTTTGAAGATTTAAGCCCAAATAAAGAACTTTGTTGAATTTATTTTGAGACTCAATAGAACTTTGTGATGGGAAATCTAAGGGGCCCTTCAGCTGAGGCACCCCAGTGTCCCGTTGGGCATACAGAAGGCACGTACTGTAAACAGACATTATTTCAGACCCAGCATGCGACAGCACAAGGGGAGACTTGGGACTTGTAGTGTAAGGGGGACAAGGAGAGTGGGTATGGGGTCTGCGGTAGTGACGCCTATGGTAGTGACCTCAGAAGATGTGGACTTAATAAGAACTGTAATTTTTTTATAAAGTATCCTTTCCCCTGCCATTTGAATTCCATGTTAAGGCTGGATCCAGTGTGGCTGCCAGCATAAAAGCAACTTCTGCAACCTATATGAATGGGATACATTCAGACAATTGCATTCTGGCTAATGTATGTATTATTTGGACTTGAAATCAAGACTAGTATTTACCCAACTGCCAAGAAGTATTTGTTCAGCTGCCAAAGCAGAGAAATGGTATTCCTTAAGAGAATATAAACAACCCTTTTCCTGCTTTATTCCTGATGTGCTAAGTGAAGACTCAACTTTGACTAGTCTGACAAAATTCAAAAGGGATTTTCTCTTGATTTTCAAAGAGCTAAGCTCAGTCGAAAGAGGATTCAGTTCCCCACTCGCCTATGTTAGCGTAAAGACATAATTCTGTTCGTAGCCTGCTACCATAAGTGGCTGCAAAATCTTTTTGTCCCTATTCCTCTTGATTAAATGAAACATGTTGATATTTTTCCCTCCGTTGTTACTTAAAGCTTCGGGGTTGTCTCTGCTTTTCTCCACAGGTACGGTGGCTATAGACTTGCAAGATACGGGATGCAGATCTCCAAGTGCAGCTACTTTAACCCTTCCTTCAGAAGCAGGCAAAGGGGGCAGAAGGCCAAGCATAGCACCTGTGTTGGAGGTTGCTGACTCTACAGCTCTTCATACCTGTGACCTCTTAAGCGACCAGTCGGAAGATGAAACAACTCCTTCAGATGAAGAAGTTTCAAATGGCTTAGAGTAGGTACAGTTCAAATACCAAATTTTGAATAAGGAAATTCATGATATTGTGATGGAACTCATTAGAAGCACTTCATTAATACTTGCATCTCTACGAGCTTCTCGAATGCTAAAGTGCTTTAATCAAGAAAAATGTAACTGAGAAGGAAAAACGAAGAAAATCCTGCTTTGATCTAGAGTTTGGAAAATTATTTTCAGGAAAAAGGAGTATAATGATAAACTGAGCTGTTCTCTGGCACCCAGAGTATCATCGTACTATTGCTAAAATATGAATAGCTCCAGAATATTGTTGTATTCATTCTTCTTATAAATAACTTCCAAAGCTTTGTTTGTAAAGCAGTAGACACTATACAATACATGCAATTTAAATAGCTACAATTAAAAAAAAAAAAAAAAAAAAAAAAAAAAAAAGAAAAAAAAAAAGAAAGAAAGAAAGAAAGAAAGAAAGAAAATTTAAATAGCTACAATTGTATGAGCATGTTTGGCATTATGAAACTTGTGGCACCCACCAAAAACATTCTACACTGCTCTATAATGCAATTGGAAACTATGTTATATTTTATTTATTTCATTATTTATTTAGAACTTTTGTATACCGGTCTTCTCACCTCCGTGGAGAGACTCAGCCTGGTTTCCAACAATAGTATCACAAACAATCGTTTAAAAACATCACATTCCATTTAAAAACATCACATTCCGTAATACACTAACACATTAAAATACCAAAAATACAATCATATAATTACAATGGCCAAGTCGTCACAATAAAATCGTTGTTCATCACCATCCATTCATATAGCCACGAGTTATTGACTCACTCGTCAAATGCCAGTTTCCAGAGCCAGGTTTTCACCTGTTTTCTAAAAGTCAGGAGAGAAGGGGCAGTTCTAATCTCCAGTGGGAGGGAGTTCCAGAGCCGAGGGGCCACCACCGAGAAGGCCCTGTCCCTCGTCCCCACCAGGCGCCTGAGAGGCTGGTGGGACCGAGAGCAGGGCCCCTCCAGACGATCTTAACAACCTAGATGGTTCATAGGGGAGAATACGTTCGGACAGGTAAACTGGGCCGGAGTCGTTTAGGGCTTTATAGGTTAACACCAGCACTTTGAATTGTGCTCGGAAGCTAATTGGCAGCCAGTGGAGCTGGCGCAACAGAGTAGTATGCTCCCTGTACCCTGCTCGTGTTAGTAATCTGGCTGCCGCTCGTTGGACTAATTGAAGCTTCCGGGCAGTCTTCAAAGGCAACCCCACGTAGAGAGCGTTGCAGTAGTCTAAGCAGGATGTAACCAGAGCGTGGACCACTGTGGCCAAGTCAGACTTCCCAAGGTACGGGCACAGCTAGCGCACAAGTTTTAATTGTGCAAAAGCTCCCCTGACCACTGCCGAGACCTGGGGTTCCAGGCTCAGTGATGAGTCCAGGATCACTCCCAAGCTGCGAACCTGCACCTTCAGGGGGAGTGTAACCCCGTCAGTGTAGACTCATATAATGAAGTTTGAAACTGCATTATTGGGCAGTGTAGATGGGGCCATAGACTTTGGTAACTGTTATTCAAATGAAAAAAAGCAATTATTTTTACAAACCAAGCAGAAGGGTACAGTCTTTATCAAGAGCAAGCTAACCGCCCAAAGTGCCAGAAGTCAATTAGATGAACAAGTCAATGATATTTATATAGCAACAAGGTCAAATACTTGATTATTTCTTCTCCAAGAATCCAAGAAAGATGGAATCAACAGATGCGATGAAGAGACAAATAGATCAAAGAGAGCAATGTGACCAGAGAAGATACAGTCTTTTGCAGCTATATGACAAATTCAGGTTACTATAAAGAGGCATTTCATGAGTTTATTTAAGAAAGAATCACAGTCCCTTGTTGCTCAGTATCAGAAGTCTTAATTGTGAAGCCATATCCTTAATTGGATTAACATTACACTCATTTGAGTGTAGTAATAGCAAAATCTTTGACCTGTTCAAACGTCTTGTAGGATTATTTATAACTCACAGCAACAATAACATCAATTATTTCTTGTCCTAGGTATTTGAAAGGCTATCCTCCTTACTCCCCTTATATAGGAAGCTCTCCCACCTTCTGCCATTTGCTTCATGAAAAAGTGCCCTTCTGCTGTCTAAGGCTAGATAAGGTAAAATTGTTGTTGATTCCTGCACTGCTGTTTCTCATTGTAGGTTTGGCACATGGAAGGATGGAAAGAATATAATTTTTTGACAAATTTTGGGTGTTCAGAAATCTAGATTATGAAAATTTCATACTTACCAGAATCTTCGCAGTTTTGGATTTATTTTCTGCAAAAAATGTGGTTATTTTGCACAGAAAACAGCCTTTTCTGCAAATAGATTATCATTTCAGTATTAAAACATTTTTCATCATGTTGTTTGATATGCAGAGACGTATTTTTCATGTAAATAAACCATGTATGTTTTTATGCAGAAGAAATTCCTAATTACAGCAATATTTTGATCTGTCCTGAACTGCAAATAATGTTGAAAAGCTTTATGGCTTTCATAGATTTCCTCACTGTGGAAAGAAAATTGCTGAAATTACTCATTGTGAAACCTAAAGCCATCTATCATATTTTCAAAACACAGTCGGATTTAGTTAATACATGGATGGGAGTTTGCCAAAAAATACCAGGTGCTGAAGTCTTTATTTCAGAGAAAGATTGGCAAAGCTGTCTCTGAGTATTCCTTGTCTAAAAATGCATAGGTCACCATAAGTCAACAGTATGTGTGTGTGTGTATCCGAGGGGTATTTTTTAAGTAAGGTCTGTTTGAACATAAGTACACAACGAAAGTTTATTTCAAAAAAGTAAAATTATTTTCAGAAAGTACATACTTCACTCTATTTTTTTTGACATTGTTGCCAAGTTTGTTCAAACACTTATCATACCTCTGAACCAATTTTAAAATACCCTCTTCATAAAAACTTGCCGCCTGCTCCGATAACCAAGAGTTCACTGTAATCAAAGAAGGGTGACTGGAGCGGTCCTCATCATGGACGTTGTCATGGCCATCTTTGAATTGTCATACCCACTTACACACTCTGCTTTCACTCATAACAGTATCACCGTACACTTCACAAATCTGTCGATGAATTTCTGCAGCAGGCAAGTTCCTTGCTGAAAAAAACCGTATCACTGAGCGAACCTCACATGCGGAGGGTGAGTTGATAGTCTTAAACATTTTTAAAGCACAGAACAAAACTGTACAGAGCGGAAACTGAGCACAGTTGTTCCCGAGGCATGCCTGTACACGACGCACACGCTCATTGCGGTATGCGCGTGAACTACTTGTGTCTACAACAAAACGGACCTTACTTAAAAAATACCCCTCGTATGTGTGTGTGTGTGTGTATATATATATATATATATATATATATATATATATATATATATCAGATTTCAATATTAATATGAAAAATATGTAGTATGATTTAACATAGGATTTGTGCTACATTAGAACAGTAAAGACAAATATCACTTAAGTAAAATAAACCTTAAAAATTAAATAACGAGAAAAAATAGAATAAGGTGTAAACACTAAACTAATCTGGGAATCTGCTATTGCAACACATCCAATTAAGTGGTTTAAAACCAGTATAAAAAAAGGTTAGGACAACGTTCTAGTCTACTTGGAATACACAAAGCTCATTCCAGAAGCTTTAACCATACAACCATACATCCAATAAGAAATTTGATGAACAATTGCATCCCAAATATTGAGAGAAGTTGTGGTATTTATTTATTTATTTATTATTCAAACTTATATGCCGCCACTCCCCTGGGGCTCGGAGCGGCTTACAAGAATGGCTAAAATCTAACACAATTTAAAAACAATTTAAAACAATTTAAAACAATTTAAAAACAAAGATCAAAGGCCTGTCGAAACAGATATGTCTTACATGCCCTGCGGAAAGCTGATAGGTCCCGCAAGGCACGGACTTCAGGTGGCAGAGTATTCCAGAGTGATGGTGCCACTGCTGTAAAGGCTCTGTGTCTGGTTGCTGTTAGACGCAAGGTCTTGACACTGGGAATTTCCAATAGATCTTGGTCCTCAGAACGGAGGGATCTCTGGGGTTGGTAGGGGTGAGGCGGTCCCTCAGGTACATCGGCCCCAGACCATGCAAGGCCTTAAAGGTCAGTACCATCACTTTGAAAGTGATCCGGTGCTCAATTGGTAACCAATGCAGCTGTAGTAAGATTGGTGTTATGTGGCATCTCATCAGAATTCCTGCAAGAAGCCGAGCAGCTGCATTTTGTACCAACTTGAGCTTCTGGATCACCGACAGAGGAAGGCCAATTTGTAGCTACCTGGGCTTAAATATAGTCACGGATGTATTGTAGCCATTCCCAGAAATTATTTGTTATTCTTGTTTTTCTGAAGGAGGCAACTGAAATGTTGCCACAGAATTTTACACAAGAGGAGCTTTCACTTCAAAATCATACTGTTGGGAGCAATAGATTCTTTAGAGAAGCTTCAGAGCTGTTTTCATTAGTTGACAATGAGGCATAATAGTTATTTTCATTAGTTAGAATGTTTGCATATAGCTAAGAAAAAATACTGTCCAAAAGCATTTTGCTGCTTTATGCAAAGAAGATTAGTGCATTCCCACCTTCCTTGAATGTTATTTTCTGTATTGACATCTCCCAGAAAACTTTGCATTTGTGTCCAGGATCAGAAAAACTCTCCTGTATCGCTGATAGGTTAAATGATGTGATCCGGCATCTTGTTATTTAGATCTCAGTGTTATTTTGTTGTGCTATTCAACATGCATATAATTCCTGCAGCATATAACTTTTGAGTATTCTCATAAAGGTAACAAGCTAGTTGATACTATATTGAGTCTTCTATGAGTCTCTTCTCTGAATAGAAAACACTGTGCCTTGTTTTATTTACTGGTTTTAGGGATGCCAGCATAATTACTATGAAGATGCCAAAGCGTATGGCTTCAAAAACAAAATCATTATTGTCGCTGCCGAGACTGCTGGGAATGGACTCTACAACTTTATTGTTCCTCTCAGGGCATATTACAGACCAAAGAAAGAGCTCAATCCTATAGTCTTGCTACTGGATAACCCGTAAGTGGGTTGTTTGTTTGTTTGTTTGTTTGTTTGAAATGCTTACTGCTTTGTCACACAGATTCAGGATTCACTCTCAGAACATGGCATGTTGTGGTGAACCAGTTCATTAAATTAGTGATTTTAAATTGGAAGCATTGTGGCATTAGATAGTGTGGGAAATAAGAACATCATGCCCCAAAGGAAAAATTCAACTACTATTTTCTTGGAGAAAATAGGAAAAGTAAAGCTCATTGTTATAGTGGTACAAATATGAAGATCATTAGCATTAATTTACATTGTTGGAAACTGCAAGATATTACATTGCAACTTGAAAAATCATGCTTGCTCCATCCTGTTTCTGACTTCATCCACAGATTCAAATAGAAGGTTTTCATTTTGCTTTCCTTTTTTACTTAGAAAAGTAAGCTACATGTTTGACACAATAGCATCGATTATTTATATTTCTACTGCTAAAAACTCAGTGGAACTCTTCTCCTGAATCTAATTTAATTCCTTTGATGTATTCCTATTCACATTATAACAAAGAGTAGCTTTCAAGATGTTCAAAAAGGAATACAAAATGAATGGTGATTAGAGAAGCAATGCTTAACCGGTTTTGGCCTACAAAGCCCTAAACGGTTCCGGCCCAAAATACCTTTCCGACCGCATCTTGGCCTACGAGCCCACGAGGACCTTGAGATCGTCTGGGGAGGCCCTGCTCTCGATCCCGCCTGCCTCACAGGCACGTTTGGCGGGGACGAGGGAAAGGGCCTTCTCGGTGGTGGCCCCCCGGCTGTGGAACACTCTCCCTGCACACATCAGACAGGCGCCCTCCCTCATGTCCTTTCGGAAAAGCCTCAAGACATGGCTTTTTGAGAGGGCATTTAATTAATCTAGTGCTAATAATATGGTTATGAGAACTGGAATGGAACTAGGAGTATGAGACCGGCTATGATTCCACTAAGAGGCGAAGCGGATTTTAGTGTAGTCTGTAGTTGTTGTATAGTCTGTATGTTGTGAAACTGACTTTTGTAATTGTCTTTTATGTGTACTGTACACCGCCATGAGTCGCCCGTATGGGCTGAGAATGGCGGTTAATAAGTGCATCTAATAAATAATAATAAATAATAATAATTAACCGGTATGGTTTCACTTCTTATTTGTGTAGCTCCATAGCATCGACTTTCACTAACAGCTGACTATGATTTTCTGGATCCTTCTGTCTAGGGATCATTGTCATGAATGACTTTTCAATTATTTTGAAGCATAGGTTCTTTTTATTGCAATTTCCAGTGTGAGAAGGTATATCAGATTACAGAAAACATTAAGACAAAAAATGACATTGGACATACAGACATATAGATTCTATGCAACTACATTGGATTTACAATTACACTGGTTAACAAACAAACAAAGGGGAATTACATTTTCAGTCAACATTCACCCACATGTATAAGCATTCATCCACATGCATCCAAGTATTACCATATCCTTTTCTCCCTCCTTGGAGAAGCACCTGTAAGGCCAGACCCTGCTTTCCTGCAGCCTGCCAATGCATAGTTCCAAAACTTCCATAACGCCAAAACTTCAAAACGCTGAGATACCAAAACTTCTTTCTCTAAGAACAATGCCAAGGACCAGATCTCTGTTTTCCATACAGCAGAACCTGACTCCCTGCACAAAATCCAAGACTCCAAAAGCACACTTCTTCCTCTTCCCTTGAGAAAGAAGCCCCAAAGTGACCAGACTGCTCCCGTGCAGATCTGCCACTCTCCTAATACACCATCTCTCTCCTTCCATGGAGCKGAGCATGGCGGGTGGAACAGACTCTTCTGTCTGCCACGATTTGAGCATTATTAGACTGAGTCTTTTATAGCAATATTCTGTTGATGTAGTCCAAAAGTTGTAAATTAATGATATATGTCTTCCATCCTGGATCCATCTCAGTGTTGATCTTCTTGATTGATGTTGACAAACACAAGGCTTGTGTTGACTTCCTTCTTAATATAAGGAAGGTTGCAAACATTTCCTTTATCACTGTCCTGTTCTTATCAGAGTTTACTCTTCAGATCTCATTAGCAGGTTTTAATCACAAAGCAGCAAGCAGGTAGTTAGTCATTGCAGGCCTTAATATTATATTGGTGTTTCCAAAATTATTAACTCCATCCATACATCCTTCCATTCCTCCATTCATTCCCACACATCATATTAAATTCACATTTATCAAATTTTCACATTGAATTTCTTATTACATCATAATATATGAAATGATTTTGAAATATTGTTTTAACTTCAGCTTTCCATATTTCATGGGCATAATTCTATTCTAAATCCAGAGCGCCCTCTAGTGCTCGCAGTGAATTCTAGTCTAATTTATTTTAGGGATATAATTTTTAAAACAGATCTTCTGCCAGAGAGTTTTTAGTACACTTTATATATTTCCTCTGTTGCCATGTGTCTTCTCCCTTGCTATAATGGAAGAGATTTATGTCCTCACTGCACAAAAAATTAATGTGACAAAAACTTAAGATTTGTGAGTATCACCAAATATAGCAAATTTGTTTTCTGAACATGAATTTTGGTTGTAAGAAACTTATAGTAGAAGATAAAACTGACTTAATACAATAAGAGTGCTAAACAAGATTTAGATATGCTCAAGCTTTATTACTTTCAAGAGGATTTATATCCAAGTAATTGTACATGAAACCATTTATATTATGAGCTTTGAAAACTTCATGGTAGATTGATCTACTTCAGTAAACCCCAGGGAAGTGTGAACTATATGATAAAATGTTACACTCCAAAATTACTGCATCAGTACACTATTAATCTACAGCTCTCAATAATACTGGATCATGACACAGAAAAGTAGATTCCATAAAGTGTGCATAAAAGAGTGTCCATATTAATCAGTGAAATGTCACCAACAGCACAGGGATATTCTGTATTTCTGTGTTGTAATGCTTCTGATTTAGATACTTTTGTTTAAAATGTTCTTATGTGCATTAATTTAATAAATGAATAAAATCACAGAGAATCGGATCCATACTTAATCATGATTATATAGACCCAATAAAAATCCATGGACTTACACTAATCATGACTCATTGAACTCACATGAATTTTCTTGGATCTGCTCTATGTATGACTAGAACAAATCAAATGTTTTCACTACTTATAACGAAATGAATCACTGTAACGGAATGTATAAACCATTTATATGTTGTCTCAGAATGCACTTGTATTTCCTAGGTGGTTTAAATGGTTTTTTAATTGATTTAGCATTGAATACTTGCCAAGTGCCACACCCCATTTGTGATGTTATCTTTCACTTTGTGATTCATCTGCTGCTTAGGCCAGATATGCATTTTCTGGATGCAATCTGTTGGTTTCCAATGGTTTACTACATGGTGGGCTCCATTGACAAGTAGGTAAAATAATCCTTGGAACACTAAGTATTGTAGTGTGGTGTGCAGTGCGGTGCTTTGTACATGTGTGTAATGCCAATGTGCATGTGTGTGATGCCATATTTAAAAGGTGACATCTTTGCATGCATATTTGTTATTTACCTTTCTGAACCCTTCAGCTTTGTGAATTTAGTAATCTATGTAAATAAAAATGTAATGTTCGTCTGTGGGATTAGCATAACTCAAAAACCACTGGACGATTTGACATCAAATTTGGACACAATACACCTATCAGGCCAACAAGTGACCATCACTCATAAAAACACTGAAAAACACAGCAGAAGAGACTTAAAAAGCCAAAAAAAAAAATAAAAGATGCTACAGCGAATGCACAAAAACGACTCCCCTGGCAGTCAAAACACACAATAGCATATCCACACTCTCTTCCGAACTACAGCTCCCAGCATCCGCTAGACAAGGCACTTTAGGAGAGGAGGATGATCCAAATGCACTGCTTCCAAGCTGCAAGATTTCTTCTCCTTGGATTTCTTTGAGAGCATCCAAATCCCTGCATATTTCCAATTTCCTATTCTGGGACCGCAACTCCCAGAAATCCTCCAGATAGATAGATTAGATAGAGATAGATAGGTAGGAAGGTAGATGGATGCACTATTTCCAGATTTCCTAATTCCGCTGGGCTGCAACTTCCCAGCAATCCTCGCAGATAGATTATATAGATGTTAGAATAGGTAGGTAGTATGATCAGGAGGACTGCTGGGAGTTGCAGTCCAAGAATAGGTTGAGAAGTAAGAAAGGGGGAAAAGAGGAAGGGAAAGAAAAGGGGGGGAGGGAAGAGGAAGAGAAGGAAGGAGAGAAGGAAAGAAAAAGGGGAGAAACGAAGGAAGGAAGAGAAGGAGAAAAAGAGGAAGGTTGGCCACAGCAACACATGGTGGGTACAGCTAGTAATAATAATGAATTTGTACCCACTTATGTGGTTTTTCATGACTACTTCTGAGATGTAAAAAGATTATATTATTTGAGACAAAGCCAGTAAAATACAATGAGAAGTAGGCACCAGTCACATCCAAGAGGGAGATTATTTACGAGTCTGTCAGTTTTATTCATGCAAGACTTAAAAGAGGCCACAGGTTATTCAGGATCATTTCATCACTAACAAATGAAGGGTTGGACAAATCTATTTTAAATAAGGAGTGGGATTGGCATCTGCACAGAAGGTAGCTAAGGATTATTTATTTATTTATTTATTTATTTACTTATTTATTTATTTTCTCATCCCGAAGGGGACTCAGAGTGGCTTACAAGTAATATACAATACAATAAATATAATAAATGCAATATCTTCCTGGACCCCTCTCTTTACTCTGGTCCCAGAGTAGCAGTTGGTGTTAGGGGCTCCCAACTGATGACACTAAAGACAAGATGGCACTGTCTTCTTGGCCCCCCTCTTCACCCTGGTCCCAGAGTAGTAGTTGGTGTTTGGGGAAGGGAGAAGTAAACTAATCATAAGCTTTGAGATTTGGATGATACGAGATTTGATGAAATAGAATCACATCTCCTCTTCTAGGTCTGATATCTCCCTAGTTAATGTTCGAGGATCCAATCTTTTTATTTTTATTGTGTGTGTATGTGTGTGTTGCATCCAGATTAATGTGAGTTTGAAAAAAAGGATTTCCGTGGCCCTGCTGACTTCCTGAAAATATTATGCAAAGTGTCAGGGAACACTGCAGAATAGAGTGATGTATAATGTATAAGGAGTCCTTAAATGTCAGGCAGAGGGGCCTTCTACAAATAGAGCCCTTCTGTTCATGAAAGGCAAATCCTGAAATCAACTCATATTTATTTAGACAAAATCATGTCAATATATTTTCCCTTTTTTGACCTCATTTCACCAGCTCCTTCACTGGCATATGTGCAGATATGAATACACACCATTAAAATGAATACAAATGTGACATCTTTGTCATTTTAACTGTTTAGCAGATGGTGCTGCCCAGGCACCCACCAAATGACTATGAAAGAGCTCATAATGGATGCCCTTCTAAAGTTGTTTAATTCATTGAAGCTGTCAAAAGAGAGTTCAAATGTAAAAAGAAAAGGGGTCCATAAAGCATTAGAGTGAGCTCCATCTTTATTGCCCATGTAATCCTTCAAGTCTAATAGCATATGGATCTGCTCTGTAAGAGTGAGGTCCCCATCCTACATAACTAGTGTCTTCTCACCAAACTAGTAGGATGTTTCCTACATTACCTAATAATAATAATAGCTTTCTTTGTGTGCCCCACCTCCATCTCTTCAAAGGAACTCAGGGCAGCTTACATAGGGACAAGCCCAAGTTCAACATAGTTAAAATATAACACAACAGAATTCATAAAAATAATTTCAGTAGTATAAAAATAACACACATAATACAATATATTGCCTACAACTATCCTGCCCAATAACTCTACAAAGATAAACCTAACTGTGACTAACTCTGCTACATACCATTCACTCCCAAAGTTCACATACATATATAGATGTGTTGGGTTAATAGAGAACTGGGAAAGTGGCAATAGCTGATAGATTTAGGGCCCTTTCAGACAGGATTGATAAAAAAAAAAGAAACCAAAATGTTAAATCCTGATTCCTTTTGATATTTCGGCCATACAGCTTTCTTCCTCTTGGAGAAAACTCTTGATGAGACATTTTGACACATCTGGAGCTTTCTCTGAGTGGCCTGAGGACACAGAGAGGTCCTTCTGGTAAGTTTAGAAGGGAAGTGGCAGGGGGAGGGGGGAGGTGCCATCCCATTCCTTTAGGCTCTTAGAGCCTGAAGAACCTGGATGATAATGGAGATTGGTCCTTGGGACCATAGAAGACCTTACAGGTCCAGAACTGTTGAGGTGTTGATTTTTTTTAAAAAAAATGGAGTACATTGGGAAATCCCAGTTTACTCATTTAAGGGACTGTTTGGATGTGACTTAGGTTAACCTAAGGTATTGTTGGACACCTCAAGTTATTCCAGAATGCATTATGGGTTTTGGGCCTGTCTGGAATGGCCCTTAGAGATTGAATTGATCTAGAATAATTCTTGAACAGTTCCATAAATTGCACCATATGTGTTCATATCTATATTGTGTCTATTCCAGCATTCCATGCTAGTGGCAAGTGTCCTAACAGCAAGTAGTGCAGATAAAAGTCTCATGCCGTCTTACCAATAGCCACATGTACACTGTTTTTCTTCCTTCTTTTGTCAATCCTGGTCTAACTGGAATAGGATTTGGCAAAGACTCAGCTCAGGGGAAGTATTTTTATGTCTCTAGCATGAACTTAAAATTATAAATTTCTTCCATGATCCACTCCATAGGCCACTCCACTAGTTGATTCAGCTGCTTGGCTCCCAGGATGTCGTTGTCTTATGGCATAATTTATCAGTGAATTAATTTCAAGACAGAACTCCTTTTCTGTTTTTTCTCCTTTCCTATAATTAAAAACGAATAAACCTGTAAGACCCTAAAAGAATGCAATGATTATTTAGATAGGGTAGGGATGAAAAAGGGGGAAAGTTGGCTTTGTAATGTTCATCTGTTCCAATAGTATTAAGCCTGCCTGTCTAATGTTGTCACTTAATTGTTTGTATAACAGATAACTGTGTTTGCACAGTAACCTAATTACATTTGAATTTGAAGTAGGAACAACTTTTGTTATCTGCCCAGTAAGCTTCTCACCTAATTATCAGTAAATCTTTATTGTTCCAGCCATACATCACTATAGCAAATAACCTAATTGTAAATATGCCAGTGCTGTTTTATGGATTTGTTGTCTGAAGAATCCATGCACATTCTGGAACATATTTTGATTTGCATTCTAGAATATCCCATTTAAAGAAGACTTTATTTTTTAGTCCTTCAAAGTTTTTCAAGAGATGGATAATAATTGAAAACATTTCTTATGTGACAAATTCCAAAATTGGGTTGTTGTAGGTTTTTTGGGCTGTGTGGCCATGTTCTAGAAGCATTCTTTCCTGATGTTTCACCTGCATCTATGGCAAGCATCCTCAGAGGTTTGGAGGCTTGTTGGAAACTAGGAAAATTGGGTTTATATATCTGTGGAATGTCCAGGGTGGGAGAAAGAACACTTGTCTGTTGGAGCTAAGCGTGAATGTTTCAATTGGCCACTTTGATTAGCATTTGCTGGACCGAGTTCTTTCTCCCACCCTGGACCTTCCACAGATATATAAATCCAATTTTCCTAGTTTCCAACAAACCTCACCTGTTTTTATATCTTATCTTATTTTCATTTTTATTTATTATATTATTATTATATTTTTATTTTATTATTTTATTACATTATATTCTACACTATTCTATTTTTTGAGCCCCAGTTTCCTATCCCTGAAGGGTGGGCAAAGCTTGGGTGCAGGTCGAAAAAGGGCTAGAAAAAATGCCAAGAATTGTCGAAGTCTTTCATGGCTGTAATCACTGGGTTGTTGTAGGTTTTTCCGAGCTATATGGCCATGTTCTAGAGGCATATTTTCTCCTGACATTTCACCTGCATCTATGGCAAGCATCCTCAGAGGTAGTGAGGACCTCACTACCTCTGAGGATGCTTGCCACAGATGCAGGCAAAATGTCAGGAGAGAATGCTTCTAGATCATGGCCATGCAGCCTGAAAAACCTACAACAACCCTGTGATTCTGGCCATGAAAACCTTTGACAATACACTTCCAAAATTATAATGCATATAGATATGTTACAACATCAGTCTTACACTATTGGGTGGAAAGTATCTATGCCATCATAAAATCATGACTCTGATACAAAGAAAAAGATACTAAAAATAAACATTTTTAAACATAAGTGAGTGGGAGAAAATAGTGTGTGGACTGACCTAAAATCCTTCCATTAATAGAGGTATTTACTTTGTTTCTCTGCATTTCAGTACTTTCTCTATGCTTCATGGATGAGGCACTGCCAATTTTTACACATTAAAAACGATCATGTAAAATGTTAAGATATGTGCAATGCGCATAGGAATTCATTTTTTTCAAATTATAATGTGGCCCTCCAACAGTTTGAGGGATTGTGACCTGGCCCTCTGTTAAAAAAGTTGTGGACCTCTGGTCTAAGGGTCATTCCTACCAAATTCAATAGGAATACAGTAAACATCTACACTGTTTGTTAATTTATTAATAAATGGATTATTATTTCTGAGGTGGAAGTACATGAGATTTTTGGGACAGAATGTGCATTCCTGCGATTGACTCTTATTCATCATTGTTAAGATAGAAACAGACTGATATTTGTGTTATCATGCGTTTGTAAAGCGCATGATAATTAGGTACATGGTAGCCATTTTGAAAACCAGTTAAAAACTGTAAACTTATAAATTCACCTCAAGGGTTCTACATTCCTAAGTGTTGTATTTTATAGTCATGTGAAACAACATTACATGGTTAATAAGGAATTACAAATTTTTGGCATAACTTCACTTTTTGTCCTGTTTACAAAAGCCTAGATGATTTGCTAAGATGTGGTGTGACCTTTGCTGCCAACATGGTCGTAGTGGACAAAGAAAGTACTATGAGTGCTGAAGAAGACTACATGGCAGATGCTAAGACTATTGTAAATGTACAAACCCTCTTCAGGTATGTAGTAGTACAACTTCTCTGTTCCCTGTGTTTTCTTTTACTATGCAGTAATGCATAGATTCTTGCTATAGTGGCAAAATCAGTGATCTATGACATTGTTTAAAATACCTCTCTAAAAGAAACAACCTACTTAATAGCTGATATCTGTTAGCAATATACAAAAGCAAAAATCCAGCATATATCTGCATATTTATTATTTATTATTATTTATTTACCTTACTTATGTTCTCAGCCCAAAGGCGACTCACAGCGGTTCACAACAAATACGAACAGCAAAAATTCAGTGCTACAGTATAAAACAGTTAACAACCTAACACATTACACAATTAATAAACAGTTACTACAATACCCATTCACTGTCGTCTCGTCATCAAAAACATGTTCCAGATTCGTCATCCATTGTTCCATTCCAGTGTTCATTAACCAATCATTGCACTAATTATTCGAACGCCTGCTCAAACAGCCAGGTCTTCACTTTTTTGCGGAATACCATATTTTGTTTTGACCATTGTGAAAGCTAATATTCTCTTCCATCTTCTGCAATGATCAAATTCACTGTGACAATTCCCTCCTCGGTGGACATTCATTGTCTGGTGGGTATGTGCAGGATAGGAGAAGCATTTGACTGTGTCCACATAGCTAGACATGCTACATCATCAGACGCGCTGATTTGCTCATCGTATACTGCTTCCTCTCCACTTTAAGTGTCATGAATTACTTTTCAATAACATTAAAGRATAGGTTCTTTGCATTGCAATTTCCAGTGTGAGAGGGTATATCAGATTACAGAAAAACATTTAGACATAGAATGACATTGGACATACAGACATATGGATTATTTGCAACTACATTGGATGTACAACAACTTACAGTTACATTGGACTAACAAACAGACAAAGGGGAATTACATTTTCACTCAGCATTCACACCACATGTATACGCATTCATCCTCAGGCATTCAAATATTACCATATCATTTTCTCCCTCCTTGGAGAAGCACCTGTTAGGCCAGACCCTACTTTCCTGCAGCCTGTCAACATACAGTTCAAAAACTTCCATAACTTTAAAATGCCAAAATTTCTTCCCTAAGCGCAATGCCAAGGACCAGATTTCTGTTTTCTATATAGCAAAACCTGACTCCCTGCACAAAATCTAAGATTCCAAAAGCACACTTCTTCCTCTTCCCTTGAGAAAGAAGCCCAAAGTGACCAGACTGCTCCCTTATAAATCTGCCACTCCATGGTACACTATCTCTCTCCTTCCCATGGAGCAGAGCATAGCGGGTGGAACAGACTCCTCAGGTCTGCCACACTTTGAGCATTATTAGACTGAGGTTTTATAGGAATATTCCACTGATGTAGTCCCAAAGTTGTAAATTAACGATAGACATCTTTTATCCTGGCTCCATCTCAGTTTCCTGGCCATATGTTGATTCTTCTTGATTGGTGTTGACAAACACAAGGCTTGCGTTGGCTTCCTTCTTAACATTGTAAACATTTCTGTTATCACTGTCCCACTTCTTATCAGAGTTTACTTTTCAGTTCTTATTAGCAATTTTTAATTACAGTCCATCAAGCAGGTAGTTAGCCATCACAGGCCTTAATATTGTACTGGTATCTCCAAAATTCTTAACTCCATCCATACATTCTTCTTCCATTTTTCCATTCATTCCCACACATCATATTAAACACATTTATCAAATCTGCACATTGGATTTCTTGTTACATATGTACCGAGCCCATTAGATGACCCACAGGGCCAGACTCCATGCAGAAAGAGGAGAGGGAGTGGTAACGCTTCCCCCATCTGCAACTTTTCCATTAGTTCATATTTTAGATAGAGTCATGTTAGAGGAGGGCTCGTTTCTATTTTGTCAGGTGTAGGGGTTATGTAACTGATATATACCAAAATTAAACAACTTCATTTTGTTTTCAGGCCCCAGTAATCTTTGAATTTCAGAACTGAGTGTTGGTGTCTATTTTGCCAAAGTGGCATCATTCACCATTGAGTCACACTTCTTATTACAAAAACCACCTGGGGATCTGAGGGAAAGGCCTTACCACCCTTGATGTGACAGATCATTTTAAATAGGAGTGTTAGTGTTCTGCATGCAAAAGTTATATTGGGTTGTTGTAGGTTTTTTCGGGCTATATGGCCATGGTCTAGAGGCATTCTCTCCTGACGTTTCGCCTGCATCTATGGCAAGCATCCTCAGAGGTAGTGAGGTCTGTTGGAACTAGGAAAAGGGGTTTATATGTCTGTGGAATGACCAGGGTGAGACAAAGGACTCTTGTCTGCTGGAGCTAGGTGTGAATGTTTCAACTGACCACCTTGATTAGCATACAATGGGCTGACTGTGCCTGGAGCAAACATTTGTTGAGAGGTAATTAGATGTCCCTGCCTGCTTCCTCTCTGTTGTTGTGCTGTTGCAATTTTTTAATACTGGTAGCCAGATTTTGTTCATTTTCATGGTTTCTTCCTTTCTGTTGAAATTGTCCACATGCTTGTTGATTTCAATGGCTTCTCTGTGTAGTCTGACATGGTGGTTGTGAGAGTGGTCCAGCATTTCTGTGTTCTCAAATAATATGCTGTGTCCAGGTTGGTTCATCAGGTGCTCTGCTATGGCTGACTTCTTCTGGTTGAAGTAGTCTGCAGTGCCTTTCATGTTCCTTGATTCATGTTTGGGCGTTGCGTTTGGTGGTCCCTATGTAGACATGTCCACAGCTGCATGGTATACGGTAGACTCCTGCAGAAGTGAGAGGATCCCTCTTGTCCTTTGCTGAATATAGCATTTGTTGGATTTTCTTAGTTAGTTTGTATGTTGTGTTTCCTCATCAGCTTCCCTATGCGGTCAGTGGCTTCCTTGATGTATGGCAATAACACTTTTCCTCTGGGTGGATCTTCGTCTTTATTCTCGTGGCTTCTTCTTAGTCTTGCAACTCTTCTGATGTCTGACCCACCAAGAAAATCCAACAAATGCTACGTTCAGCAAAGGACAAGAGTTGAAACATTAAAACCTAGCTCCAGCAGACAAGAGTCCTTTGTCTCACCCTGGTCATTCCACAGATATATAAACCCTTTTCCTAGTTCCAACAGACCTCACTACCTCTGAGGATGCTTGCCATAGATGCAGGCGAAACATCAGGAGAGAATGCCTCTAGACCATGGCCATATAGCCCGAAAAAACCTACAACAACCCAGTGATTCCGGCCATGAAAGCCTTTGACAATACAAAAGTTATATTGCTGTAGATAGCAAAATATGTGCACACTTTCCACAAAACCCTTTATGGAACTTATTATAGAATCATGGAATCATAGTTGGAAGAGACCACAAGGGCCATCAAGCCCAACAGTTTGCCATGCAGGGACACACAATCGTTATTATAACTTGTTATGAACACATTGTAGTTAGCTGGGCTTTAGTTACAGCACACACTCACTAGATGGCAGGCTTTTCCTATGTCTTTAATATTAGAACTCTTATGATCTGTATTAACACAAACACAAGAGCATTAAAAAATTTAATAAATATTTTATTCATTTTTTGGAAGAAATAAAAGAATTATCACAGAAAAAATATGTTTAGTCAAATTTAGGGAGTTGGATGAACGGTTGTATGTAAAATATTTTGTATTTGTGAAATACATGAACATGAAATGCAGACTCCCAACTGTTCAGTCAGGCCAAACCCAGGTCAGCCCTGGTGGATGGTCACCCTTAACTTTTCTGTCATTTGTCACCACAGCAGTTCTTGGCATTGTTTGATACCCTTGCTGATGCTACAACATTGAAAAATTGATTATTGTGCATATTTACAAGTATTCCTTCTTAAATAAAATACCCCTGGGAAACTGAGTCAATATGAGTGCTTGTGTCCTTTATTGATGGCAATCTGCTCAAATTTGCTTCTGTAAAGGTTTAAACATTTCTAATGTTCAAATATCAGAGAACATGCATTCAAATGCATCATCTCTTAACACATATATGGTGCATGTTTTGTATTGTAATCCTATACATGGTTTCACAAAAGTCAGCACTACTGAGTTCAGTGGGACTTATTTTCAAGTAAATAGATGTCTAAATGCAATTAATTGCTTTGGGAGGTTACTACCTAAAAGCAAAGCAAAAAGCAAGACCACAACAGAGGCAGCATCTATAGTGAGACAAATAACACAATAACAGGGTCTGCAGCCATAATATGCTTTCGTAGCATTTCCACTTTCCACATTCCACAAGAGTGCGCCCTTGGCTAATATAAGAAATGTTATATTGAGTTAGCGAGATGGGGATGTTTTTGGTATGGTTATGTGCTTTCTGAAGCTGTGTATTGAAATAATTATTTTTTATTGTTATTAAGTGCCTGTACAATGGAGAACACTGCATTGCAACCTTTGCATTATCCTGATAAGTTGAGTTGCTAGATTAGTTTGGAGGGGCCAACTGTGGGAGGTAGGGGCACACATTAGCCCCCAGGAGACCTTGAAGGGCTATACAGAAATAGTACATGAACAACCCTAGAAATAGTATTTTGCCTGAAAGTGTCACAGAGGGCCAGATAGGCCCAAAATGTGGGATCTGTCTCGGTTTTACCAGAGGTGTCCAAATGATGCCTATGGTAAAAGCGAATTAATGCAGAGCAAACTGGGCTTTCCCTGGTTTACTCCACATTAATTGAACTCCTAATTAAATCCAGATCTTTATGAAAGATCCAGGCCGAATGAGGTTCTGGGCTTGTGGGATCTGACTCCTGGGACTGCTTCCACAGTCCTGGGGATGAGTCTCCATAATCATGCTGCTTCTTTGGGCTTTTCAAATTCCAGAGGAATGGGATGGCACCAACCTCCTTCCCCCAGCCCCCGATTTACCCCCTGAAACTTACTGAAAAGAGTTCCTGGCTAGCATGGAACTTCTCCTTGCATTCACCAAAGCGTCATACAGGGAGCATACCACCCCTCTATTATGTCAGCTCCACTGGCTGCCGATCCAGTTCCGAGCACAATTCAAAGTGCTGATTTTGACCTATAAAACCCTATACGGCTCCAGCCCAGTGTGCCTGTCCGAACGTATCTCCTTCTATGTCCCACCTCGGAGTTTAAGATCTTCTGGGGAGGCCCTGCTCTCGGCCCTGCCTCTATCACAAGTGAGGCTGGTGGGGACGAGGGACAGGGCCTTCTCAGTGGTGGCCCCTCGCCTGTGGAATTCACTCCCTGGGGAAATTAGGTCATCAACATCCCTCCTCTCCTTCAGAAGGAAGCTGAAAACATGGATATGGGACCAGGCCTTTGGGTAATCTGGCAGACTGACAAGATAATGACGACCAGAAATTGGAAAGGACTATGGTAATGCTGAATGGACTTATGGATTTTAGAACTCGGTGAACGTTGGCCACCAGATTGYCTTTTAATTGTTTAATTGTTATTGTTTTAATTGATTGTTTAAACTACTGTGGTTATTGCTGTTATGTAATTTATTTGTTGAATTGTTGGCATCGAATTGTGCCGGTGTAAGCTGCCCTGAGTCCCCCCTCGGGGGTTGAGAAGGGCGGGGTAGAAGTGACCGAAATAAATAAATAAATAAATTGTGGCACAAGAAAATGCTGTGTGAGGAGATGGGGGTGCAGAGGGATTTTCCTTATCACCCCCCCCCCCATCTCCTCAGGTATCATATTCTCACACCACGAGTATGCAAGGAGAGGCTCCATGGAAGCCAGGGATGCTTTTCCATACATTTTAGGAGGTAAATCAGAAGCTTTGGGGTGCCGTCATGCTATCCTGATTTCAATTAATATATCCACTTCTTCTATATCTTTGCTGAATACTTGTCTTGTTTTATATAGGAACATATTTCCTTTTGCCAAACACTGTCATTGCAACTAATTAAATATTTTGAGCTATAAATAATTAGGTTCTGCAAATGTTATCAGGTTTTATCTTCCACAGCTGATCTTACTTGAGGAATAACATCATTATCTCTTTATGAAAATATTTAGGTTGTTCTCCAGTCTAAGCATAATCACAGAATTAACTCACCCAGCCAACATGAGATTCATGCAATTCAGGGCAAAAGACTGCTATTCGCTCGCTCTGTCAAAATTGGAGAAGGTAAGAAAATAACATCTGGTTTATGCCAATCAGGATTATGAAAATAAATGTGACACAAAGAGAAGTATTTATATGTTAAATAAAAAACAATGTAATATTGACACTAAATTTGTACATTTATCAAATACTAGCTGTACCCACCATGCGTTGCTGTGCCCAACTTTCCCTCTTTCTCTCCTTCTTTCCCTCCTTCCTTCACTCCCTCGTTCCTTCCTTCTTTCCCGTCTTTCCTTCTCTTCTTCCTTCCTTCTCTGTCTCTTTCCTTCCTTCCCCCTTTTTCTTTCTCTTCTGCTGTCCCTCTTTTCTTCCTTCTCTCTTTCCTTCCCTCCCTCTTTCTCTACATCTTCCCCCTTCCTTCGTTCCCTTTCCTTCCTTCTTTCCTTTTTTCTTTCCTTCTCTCCTTCCTTCCTTCTCCAACTTTCCTTCCTTCCTCCTTTTTCTTTCCCTCCCTCTTTCTCTCCTTTCTTCCTTCTCTACCTCTTTCCTTCCTTCTCTCTTTGCTTGCATGCTTCCTTCTCCCTTTCCTTCTTTCTTTCCCTCCCTCTTTCTTTTCTTTCTMTCTTTTTTTCCTCCCCTTCCCTCCCTCTTTCTTCCTTTTTTCTGTATTGTCATGTAGCTTTTCGTCATTTAGCTTTTTGGGTCTTTTTAAGTCCCTTCTGCTGTGTTTTTCAATGTTTTTATGAGTYAAGGACATACATTGGGTTGTTAGGTGTCTTGTGTCCAAATTTGGTGTCAATTCCCCCAGTGGTTTTTGAGTTCTGTTGATCCGACAAACAAACATTACATTTTTATTTATATAGATTCCAATTTCTGGAGCTGAAATATTAAATGAAATAATTCAAAATTCATCTAGTTTTGACTCACTAGAATGTCTTGGATTTTTTTTTAGAGATCAGTACATTCTGGGTTGAAACTTTTAGACCTGTAATTAGCCTAGTATACATTACCACACAAACCTATCAGTGGTTTTCTGTATTCTGAAGAAAGTTGATGTCTTCTAAGATAAAAGATTATTAATCAATTTTCCTTGAATGACAAGTTGTATATCATTCCATTGATCTTCCTCTGAAGCATTAACTCATGAAAATGGTGGTATTTTATTGGACGAGCTTTTAGATCATAGCTGACCAGAGTACCTCATATAATATGAGTATGCACTTTAGAAAGGTACCCAATCTACAGCGTCTGGGGATTAATTTCAAACAAAGATCACTACCGAGTCAAAGCAGAAAATGTTCTCCCTTAACATAAAAAGTCTGAAAAAATGCTACTACAGTAGAGTCTGTATTGCTTATCCAACTTTCGCTCATCCAACGTTCTGTATTATCCAACACAGTCTGCCTCCTGCCTGGATCCACAGCTTTTTTAGTACATTGCAATGTTTTGATGCTAAATAATTAAATACAGTAATTACTACATAATGTTACCGTGTATTGAACTGCTTTTTCTGTCGATTTGTTGTAAAACATGATATTTTGTGCTTAATTAGTAAAATCATCATGTAATTTGACATTTAATAGGCTTTTCCTTAATCCCTCCTTATCATCCCACATTTTTGCTTATCCAACATTCTTCTGGCCCATTTATGTTGGATAAGCAAGACTCCACTGTATATGAATGACTGTATTCATGGAATTCTGGAAATAGTATTTACATGAGTTATCTATCTGAGTCTTATCCATATACATACTGTATATATGAAAATATCCATATACAAATAGACAGCTTAAGCTGTGAATAAACATTTAAGGCAGTTTGGCAATCTGTCCAAACTTACTTGAAAGTGAACGTGAGATAGTTTGATTTTTAAAAAATTGCTTCAAATACTAGTTACATTTTATAGGTTTTTAATGGACTTAACGGCTTTTCTATCATTTCCGATTGTATGGGTTTTATACAAGATTATATCAACTCTGTGATTAGACTATTCATATACACTTTGACATTTTGTGAATAGATGAGTGAGTGATCTTACCTACAGTTAGGAAATATATGGTGAATATTGAACAAATATTTGAACAGACAGAAAAGGCAAGATTTACTCCTTCCCTGTTGTACTCATGATAGTAAATGAAAATGTTTTTTTTTCCTGACAAGTCTTTGGCACATAAGCTGTCTCTGTTGAACAGAATCTAATTTATACTGGCTTTTGTTGTTGTTGGGGTTTTGTTGTTATTGCATTTTAATTGTCTTTAATTTATTTACTTCAATTCTCTCTTTTGATATTTGTGTTAAAATTTTGTTTTTAAGTTTCTGCTTGTTTTTTTTGTTGTATTTTATCCTTGTTTGGGATAACCTGAGGACCTTTTAGCTCTCTTTCCATGTACCAATTTCCTTTGTCTATTGGTGGACCCCTTAATATTCACCATTTAATGAGGGAAACTTAGTGCATTTCATAGAATCTGGTTTTGAAAGACACTCCTAGGATACAGATACATGTGGCATCTGGATCTGGAGTGGGGTACTCTAGATCAGTCCAAGAGAATCTGCATAGTTAGCTTTTGAGCTGGCTCAATGTCAGGATGATGTCCTCCTGACAAAGGGAAGGACTTTATATGTCCTAGATCCATCTTTTCTATTCTCGGATAGCTCTGGTACTACAGCCAGCATTAGTACTTGTGATAAGTGACAACCACCAGCAATTTCACACACCACTATGTTGAGGATAGTATGGTGACAATAAGTGCCATCCCCTGTACCTAAGCCCAGAGAAAGTGGTATGGCTGCATAAAAAGCAGCAACCAGTTCCAAATCAGAACTGATTCAACTGTTTTCACATGGCCAAAGTGATGATGAGTTCTGGAGGTCAGGACAGGCAAGGCATCCCAATTTGCTTGGCTTCGCAGAGGAAAGAGAGGGGCAGTGGGGCAAATCCATCTTCTGCATACAGATCCCTCTTGGTAATGCTTTCCCCATCACACATGGGAAGCTGTAGTGAAATTGCTACTCTATGTTAAAGTTTTGGTGTATAGCTCTATGTTTACATATGGCAGATAGGGAAGAATAGGCACAGACAGGGTAGCAACAGCAGAGATAGTATTCATTTGCATATGGGAAGCCGATTGGTCATATGCAGATTAGTGTAGGGCCAGGATTTGAAAAGGCTGCTAGGCCAAAATGACAGTTAGGGAGAGCAGAGCTGAACATTCCAAAGGGGCGGAGCCAAGGTTCTGAAAGAGGCAGTTAGAGTGAGGGAGTTTGAAAATGATAGTTAGGAATCTGTGTGAAAAGGAGAGTTGGTTTTTGAGTGCCTGATAGAAATAAGCAGTTATGAAGATGTGTTAAAGACTTCTGATATAGAGAAGCAGTTAGTTAAATAGAACTCGAGTTTTAAGGAACATAAAGAAGGCTAGTGTTGCCTTAGTTCAGAATATAATTCAGCCAAGAGTGTGTAAAGCAAGTAACATGTTTGTGAATGTGAAACATTGATAGTTTATTCAGAAAAGTTAACCAAGTAAATGATACTGACTGTAAGCCTCAAGATTGTAACAAAACACAAATGTAACCACAAGCGTTGGAGCCAGAAGTTATAAATAAACTGTGTTACTTGGTTATATACAAGAGTGTTTCATTGCCTGCGTTATAAAGTACAAAGGTTTAACAGCATACAGAAAGTCCCAGCCAATATAAAAGAAGAAATTGAATCAGTATAAGGCAGCAAAGAGGTTTATAAAGAGGAAATAGTCTCTCTCCCTCGCCTCAGAAGCGTTGCCCTTCTGGGAATGATCGGTGGGGGCTCCATTGAAGCCAGCACAACACAGGAAACTTTCCGTGTTGTGAGAGAAGCATCCAAGGATGCTTCCACCATGGTTGGGGGCAAGGCCTCTGCTGGAAGTCACATGATGTTGTATGATGGCTGGCATGGGGCTCTATTCCCAAAATAGTCTGGAAGCATCCTAGAACATTAATATTGATGTGTGTGATGAGGTCGAAAGTTCCTTTCCAGGCATGTATGGGGAATCCACCTTATGCATCATGTGGATGCCACAAAATTCATTCAGCCCTGCCCACCTCATTTGGTCTGTGTAGATGGGCCCTTAGTCCACATTGGTTAATCCTCATCTATGAATTAATGTCCAAGATTGACAACTTCCCACTATTATATTGACTGTCGGTGGTATCTGTAATACAATTTGAAAAAAAATTATTAACATCTATTTATTAAAATTTCTAGCAGAGTTTTTGTAACTAATGAATCCATATGGGTGTGGGCATTTTTTACAAAATTAATCTGATTTTTTTCAAAGTGGAATGTTCCTTTGAAAAATCTGCTCTTTTAATTTTGGAACCAAATATAATGTGTGTCAAAATAATTTTAAAATAGCAACTCTAATGTGATACTTTGAATATCAGTTAATTAATTGGAAAAATATTAATGCTAGCGTGTGCATTTAATATATGCACATTAATTTGGATAAGAGGGACAAAATTAATTTCATTTAGACTACAAATGTAACAAGCCAAAAGTTGATACTCTCTTCATAATTAGCTTCATTATGCCTGTTCTGTTTTGAATGCATTTATATTTGTTTCTTTCCCATTACTGTCTCTCAATATCTTCTCTAATACACTGTGAATATATATGAGCGGCACATGAACCATAAGAATACTTTAGTACTATGAAGAACATTTTTGGGATGTAGAAGAATTGTGTTAAATAGCTGAGCTGCTGAACTTGCTGGCCAAAAGGTTGGCAGTTTGAATCCGAGGAATGGGGTGAGCTCCTGCTGTTAGCCCCAGCTTCTGCTAACCTAGCAATTTGAAAACATGCAAATCTGAGTAGATCTATAGATACCACTTCTGCAGGAAGGTAATTGCACTCCATGCAGTCATGCTGGTTACATGACCTCGGAGGTGTCTATGGGCAATACAGACTCTTTGGTTTAGAAATGGAGATGAGCACCACCCCCCAGATTCAGACACAACTAGACTTAATGACAGGGAAATATTTACCTTAACCTTTAGAGGAATAAAGGAAAATGTTCATTAGGGGAAAATGC